CTTTTGTTAACAAGGTTCAAAGCTGTGTTATGTAATCCTCTCTTGAATAGAAGTAGATTACAGTAATAAAAGCTGTACAAAGACGATGCGATGAAAGGAATCTAGTGCCATTATTATAAACGACCGCTCTACCTTACTTTATGACCTACAGACCCAAAATCAACGAACTCACTGAAACAAGACAGTCCAAAACCAAGGAGCACGGGAAATTTCCACGGGTTTCTGTGGGGCCAATTTGCCTGTGATTTGCTGAACATATTTATTCAATATTTAAAAGTTTACGCAAGATTGTTGCGGACTGTAGGTCGGAGTTAAGATACGCCCCTATTGAAAATTGCTTGCTTTGTAAAAGGTCACCTCTGAGTTCACCTGCAACGGCCATTGTAAAAGATTCTTTCCGTACCCTGTTTTGCTTTTTTCTAATTCAAAAATTTCATAGAGACACACAAAAGGATACAAATAGTAAAATAAAACTAAAATTTACGAGCTCTGAGGCTAATAGTTAAGCAGCCTGTCTCAATAATCAGCTGATTATGTGTGACTATTACGCAACCACACATAACTATTACAAGTACGACTACCAGTGCACGTTTTGTAGTATAAAGTAAAAATAAAATTTCACCGCAGGAAGCCTTCTTGTAGGCTTCCTACGACGGAAAACAGTGGAATTTAATGTTATTAAATTCATCTTTTTTTGTCAATCGTGAAATACAAATCTACAACTCTCTTTATGTAACCGACAGTATATTGAAGTTAAGATTAACCTCTCCCAAAATGTAAAAATTGGTTACGACTGCGAGAAGCACCACATACGTGCCAACAGCCATTTCGATTTCTCTCTTTCATTTTGGAAATAAATAAATTTGATTCTCTTTTACACAAAAATTCCTATGGAACTATAGAATTACAGCAGTAATAAGCAAGCAGCTTCGAGTCAGACTTTTAAAATCGTCGAAGGCTTTTCTTACATGCACTTTTATTAATTGATCGGAGCAGAGTTTTGCAAGATAATAAACTAAGACGAATGAAACAAGACAGTTTGATGCAGAATGTATGAAATCTTACCTCCAGAGTATTACAATTTTTTGACCGTTGTGAAGCCCAGCTTCAATCAGTAATGTCCACTGTTCGGATCCCAGGGAACAATGATTACTAATAAGGCGCAGCCTAACACTTAATTCCCAGGGTTTGAGCCATAATTTTATTCAAGCGCTAGTCACTGAACCAGTTAGCAAAAATGCGCAGTCAGCTGTGTGGGGCTATCTCCCTTGGGGGTTCGTGCCAAGTTTCAGAGTTTGATTGAGTCAGCCATAGGCGGTAATTTGGTTCATGAGAGTGGCAGATGTTATGGAGAGGCAGGGTTGTTATGTGAAACCAATTCTGGGGAAAAGGGTAGAGCATTTTTATTCCCGTAAGTGTTCCGTAACAGCGTACTTTAAAATAGTATTGCGTAACAGATATGCATAACACAATTCATTCAATCAAATGATTCAATAAAAAGACCAAAAGCCTAGACTAAAATATCAACATTACAAAGCAGAGAGGTGCTGTACGTGAATATATCAGTTCATCGTTCGCTTTTTAAGCACTTTCAGTCTCTGGGGTGACCGATGTCAATCAATATCAAAACATTATCAAGAGAAAATTTATGAGAAATAATAAAATAATCAGTTAAGAGAAAATGTTTTGTTCGTTAATAATGAAATTAGACCGTTCACAGTCCCGTATTTTTTCGTTAGATCGTTGAGATCATAGTTATTAGAGGAGACTGGTTATGAAAAGCGGCAAACATCAGTGATAAAAACAACAGTGCTGCAGTTTATGTTGGAAGCATCCTGAAAGTGCACAATCCTTTGTTTTCTGTTGGCAAATTGTTACGGAATAAATTAATGCAATGTTTTTATTGGTCAATACAATCAAAATGATAGGAATTCTTTTGAACATTGTGCACTTTCAGGTCCACAAAAACATATAACAAAGGAGTCTGACGGGTTTCATAACCATTCCACTCAATTAACTATGTTGAGATATAACGCGTCTTAACGTTAACAACAGCCATCTTGATTTTCAAATGTACCGAGGGGGCGGGCGTCGGCGGTTATTGGTTTTGTGCTTGAGTACAAGCTCGAGACCTTGTACACATGCACCCGCACCGTGCCCGACTTCTAGCGTGGGTATTCTTGAAAGAAGAGTGTGTTCACATTAGTGCCCTGCGAGTACCGTACGTGGGCACCGTGTCCGGGCACCAAGTGTGGACGCTGCCTTATAAGGTATAATATATAGATTAAGCCAGGGCTAAAAGCGAAGCTCTGGTTAATAATACTGGTGAACAACAACAAAAAAAATTAAGTCGTGTAATGCTAAACGGGGAGCGCAATGAAAATGGCATCAAGATCAATACGTCTAATTAGCACGTGCAGCACACTTTTTTCCTAATTACCAAAAAAAAACAAATTTGCATGTGCAGCACGCTTTTTGTCTTCTTTGCCGTTGTTTTGCACAACTACAAGGCTGTTTTGTAGGACTAAAACCTCAAACTTCCCAGTTACACACTATTTTTATGGAGGAATTGTCGTATGTGCTTACCCAATATTTTGTCTCCTGTGTTCATGTTCGCTTTTAGTTTTCACTGCCGCTTATTTTCACCTTGCTGGCCACTAGTATTTCTCATTGTCTCGCAGCCGCTTTGAATTTTCATGTTTTTCTTCCTACAAAATTCGTCTCTTTTGTTTTCAATCACTCGCTCTAACTCTTTCTCTGTTATCCATGTGAGTGTAAACATTAAAAATAACGTCGAAAAAGACACGACTTTGTTGTTGCTGTTTTTTTCTAACAGTCCGGGCGGCCATGCAATTTCTTTCCAAATAAAACCTTGAGTTGCATTTGGGTTGCCATACCTGTTGATTGAATTATTTTACATTGGTATACCTGTGGTGCGGACGGAAGGTCGGGCGGTCGGTCGGTCGGTCGGTCGGTCGGTCGGTCGGTGTGCGGTATGTGATTACCAAATTTTCTCGGATGGGGAGTTTACTACATTTCTTTACCCTTGGTGCTCCGCTTCGCGCGCTTCGCGCGCGAGAGCTCCGCTATGAAAAGGTGGGGATTTCACCAGTTAAGGTATACGAAAGGGTAGGGAAATGTAAAAATCTCCTAAAAAACCAAAAAGGGCTAACGGGCGCATTTTGTTGCTGACAAAGAGACAATAAATCTTCCTGATTTAGTGATCATTCAAATTAAATAACCGAACATCCAGACTGTTAAAGGGGATGCTGTAGTTCTAAACTAAATATAATGTGAAAGGGGTACTATTTGTTAGTAGAAGGTACACGAAAGGATTATACTTTTTCTGTCAAAAATATATGGTATACAAAAGGGGAAGGGGTTGGACCTCAGTGCGGATCCTCCCCGTATAAAACTTTGTTGAGTACCCACATCCCTGGGCTGTGGGTAGCCTGTGAGCAAGCTCTCCTATCTGGGCTTCGCCGCTTGCTCGCGCGTTCAGGCGAGAATTGCTTCACTCGCTTAAATAGGAGAGTTTGTTTGCAGGCTAGGCTGTGGGTTGGAGAGATGGCCTCTTATACTAGACTGGGATTGACCGTACAAGTTGTTTTATGGTCACCATATGATTGTTGTGGATTTTCTTTTGTTTGAGTTGATTTCTTAGCAATTTATAAGCGCCGCCCTCGAGAAAACATCGCGCTCAGTCAATAGAATGCGGCGTTTATTCGAGGATTTTAAGAAAAAACTCGACACAACTTTGTAATCTAGCCACCCAAACAATGATGATTCTATCTCAGCAAAATAAATAAATAAGTAAATAAATAAATAAATAAAAAGACAGACATTAAATGGAAGTTATAAATCTTTCTGTTGTACGTAATATACGAAAGTCCTGTCATAATTGTTGTCAGTGATTTAGGAATTATGTTTTTGAAATAAACGCCGTATTATTTCAATCGGGTAAATACAGCATGTGACTGTCCGCGTTTCTCATGTTTTAGGTCTGGTCAACCAGCCCTTGCATTGGACTTGACTATTGGATCCCATTGCTAACATATCACTGCAATATAATGGTACTACACTGAGTGACCTGTACTGAGCGCAGAACATCTAATTTGAATTTTTGTACGGTGGGAGATTTATTGGTCAAAATTGGAGCTTAAAGCACGGGCAGTCCAGGCTCAACTGGAGCCACGGTAAATCTGAAACGGATCATGACCTGCTAATAATAATAACAATAATAATGATAATGATAATGATAATGATAATGATAATGATAGTACTAGTAATAAGAACAACAACAACTTTAATAATCTTTATGCATTTTCAATAAAACTTACATATCTTAAGCACCCTTAGGTAACAATGTAAAAGAGGATTAAAAACAGAAATCAATTTATAAATGCTTCGAGATCTGATTTGTATACTGGATTGTGCGCATGCATGGGATTGATAAGATTAGTAATTAAGCTAGTATTGGATGAGGCTAAGTGTTATAGGAAGTGTTATGGAGATCGAGGAGGGTGTTATCCTCCCAGGTCGAAGGTCAAGGTGGATAACACTCTTCGAGGTCTCAGCTCCTTGGAATTCGTATCCAATAATTGCTTATTATTTCTTCAAATGAGCCAAACAGAAACGAAGACGTACTTTGGGTGAATAATAACTAACTGCCAAAGATTTAGTTACTAGAGAGGTGGAGGTGACGGCTCTCTCTAATAGATGCGAGGAGAAGTGTGACGTCACGTTATTCCAGCATCGTAGCAAAATTTCTGCAGGATCTCAACACTCTTTCTTGACAGAGACGGCCATTTTCATCGTCGAACGATGGGAGAATGCATCTGCTACCGTTTTGTTTCTGAGTACAATCATGCTCAGTCACACATGTCAATTTGTCGTTTTTTCTGCCATATTTGCAGGACCACGACCTGTTGAGATCAAGACATTTTGCTTCCATAGCAACGTGACGTAACGACTTCTCCTCTCTATAAACTAGGGATAATCTATACTGCTGCTAAAGAAAATACTTGTATTCGGTCGTTGAATGTATCTGCAACGTAAAGATGTCCACTTTTATCTACTGCTACTCCAGCAGGAAATCTCATCAAACCATCTCCTTGCCCTTTTCCTCCGAATTTTGTTACAAAAGTTCCGTTTTGTTGAAAGATCTGTACCCTATGGTTACTTCTATCCGCGATCACAAATTGCCCCTGGTCATCAACGGTTATACCCGCGGGGTTGTTAAGCAACCCGTCTTCATCTCCTCTAGATCCGAAATGAAAGCCGAGTGAGCCATCCTTGTTGAAAACATACACTCTATGGTTATTGTAGTCTGTTACTGCTATGCGACCAGTTCTACATATGGTTACTCCCCAGGGGCATGCCATACCCTTGGACACGATCATCCCCACGGGGATACCCTCGGGAGAGAAGATTTGAATTCTGCTGTTTCCGGAATCAGCAACGTAAATGCGGTCATCGCCGTCGATGGCTACGCCATGCGGGTGGTTCAACCTTCCAACGTCGTCACCAAAACCACCGAATACTTTCGCCAGTTTTCCTGACGGTGTGACAATTTGTATTCGATGATTCTGGCCATCAGAAACTACAATAAGATTTCCTCTTCGACTCAGGGCTAAGCAGTAGGGGAAGTTAAACTGTCCTTGGATGGTTCCTTGCGAACCGAACGTTTTGAGGATTTCTCCTTTTATAGAAAGTATTTTGATTCGGTGATTATGAGAATCAGCCACGAGCACGTGGTCATGGGAGTCTACGAGAACACTGTAAGGATGAGAAAAACCCCCACAGTCCTCGCTACGCAACATAAGATGGCTACCTATCCAGTCTCTTGGTCTGACTGTGACAGTAACAGGGCTGTCGGCCACAGGGCCCCCATTTATACTAACGTGCAACCAGTATGTGTCTGGCTTCGTAATAACATATGCCAGGTCGTAGGTCCCGTCCTTGTTGTCTTGACAACCGTATTTAAATCCAGCGTTGTCAGGTGTCACACGAGATCCAGCCAATGAGAAGGAGAGCTTTACTTTGTCTCCGCCCCTTTGCTGTCTCTTTCCATGAACACTGACAGCTGTCAACGACATCCGATTGACTTCTCCGGTGATAATGTGTTGGTGTTGCTTAGAAGCGGACAGAGTGCACAATGTAGGCTCGCATGGCGTGCTAGAAGATTGCTCTTTGACGTGACCTAAGTGGCTGATATCGTTTATGATTTTTTCGCTTTCTCCAACAAATTGAATGGAGTTAAATTCTTCATCAGTTGAATCAGTCTTAATTGATTCCTCTATTTCTTCAACAAGAGAAATAAGTCGTTTAATGACAACTTGTCCAATGCTTAGTATTTCAAGTTCACTCCCCTGCTTCACAGCGCCTTCCGTGAACAGACAGCAGCTGTTTGCGTGCCGCAAATTTTGATGAAGTTTCTCTTGTTTTGAGAACAAAAGATCAAGCTTTGTTTTACAAAGTAACTCAGCTTCATTAACAAGTTCATTCATGCGATTCTTCAGCTCCTCGATTAACCGTTGAAAATATTCTTCAATTCTGGCGCGAATACTGCTCTTGCGATTTTCCAACTTTGAAATATCTTCTTCCAAAAGATTTAATTGTTCTTTCAGCTGAGCACGTTTTCCTTTGATTTGCTCTGCAAGATTTACCATATTTACCTTAAACGTTTTTGCGACCTTGTCGACATCACGGTACTCGTGCCGCTCGTGTGAAGTCAGCGTACATTGATGACAAATTGCCTTATCGCAAGTCTGGCAGTAAAAACAAAGCTTCTCAGATAAGTGTTCCAGGCAAAACGAGGTTCTTGAATTATGATACCCTTTGTAAAGCACTGCTCTGAGCTCGTCGACTGGTTGTAGCTGATGCAATTTCGTTGCGCTCATTCTTCGATGAGCCGTTGAACAAAACTCGCAAAGAAACAAGTGGCAACGATTGCACCGAGTTGTAACCTTTTCTCCTTCCGTTTCGCAACTGTCGCAAACAAAAACCAAGGAAGAGTTTTCATGTACAGCTGCCAAGTTAACCAAGTTGCTCGCCACAAAATTGGCTGGAAATTCTTTCCGTAAATCTAGCGGTTGTGGGCATATTGGACAACGCGGTAACTTACCATTTCTCGGAGAAATCTTCTCAGCGTCGATGCATTTTTTGCACAATGTGTGCAAGCAAGGCAAAAGGAGGGGTGAAACAAACCTTTTTTGACAACTTGGGCATTGTAAGTCTGCCGAATTCGGCATTTCGTCGGCAAATTTAACCTTTGTCCGCTGTTTTTCCATCACAATACTACACAAGAACAGCCATTATTTTCTTCACAGGATACGAATATAAAATGATTTTTTTATAGTTCCCTGTCACTGTTGGTTTTCAAAAGAACTTTTTTTCCGAAGAGATGAGCCATTTTCACTTTCGTCCTATAAAGCAAATTCGACGCTGAGCTGCACTGCGATGCGTGACAAAAGTGTCAAATAAAATGAAATTTTAATTTTCATGATTGTGGTCATTACGTATGGCTAACTAGAGGACAAAGAACTTTTGACATGTTTGCAAAACCTAAATGAATACACTAACTATTGCGTAAAATTGTTACGGACGGCGAAGACGCTCAGTTTTGGTGATAAGTTTGATATAATAATCATTCCCAAAGCAGCCAATAATGCTGTAGTTAAATGGTAGTAATAATATAATGAATTTGAAGTTTGAGAAAGTGATTTAACTAAACACAATTTCTTGTCAATGAATTGTTTGTGTTAAGAATGAGTTTTTCAATTGGCCGACCAATGAGAATTTGTCCTTGAGTCGTTTTTAATATGCAGAGACAAAAAAAGGCCTTAAAGTACCTTTTGAAGATATCGTTATATTACTCTTACGGATTTGACTGATGCCTTACAAAGGGGCTGCGTCATGGCTGTCTAGTTCATTCCGGATGAGGGGTTGGGGGGGGTAAGGTACTCCTGGGAATTCTTGGTGGGGTTGTACCGCCCCGTTCTCCAAATCTTGACTCTATTTCAGACCAAAAAATGTCATTTTCCAAAACCGGAATTTTCAGAACAGACCTCTAAAATCCATACCCGTTTTCAGACCTGGCCTCTACGCAAAAATTATGTCATCGTTACTTAGATTAGAGCGCACACAAAAAAACTTCTTCAAATCCATTTCGACTTCGCATGTTTCTCTATTAATACGTTCATAAACTCCCGTAGTTCCCTCGAGAAAACCATACCCGATTCCGGTTGTACTGAGGGAGTCCTCCCCCCGCCGGGAGTTCATTTTGCTTTTAACGCCAATAACATGTCGGTCCTTATTCGCTACGGAACTTGAATTATTACTCAGTGAATGACAAAATCAGAGCTTCGTGTCGAAAGAATCCGTTTCCCATGCGTTACATCAAACATAACAAACAACAAAAAGGAACGTTAAGAAACTGTTAGGCTAACAAGTTTTCAAAAAGCACTCCATTTCAATCTTCTTCAAGTTTGTCCATCCGTTACTCTTTTTGTGATTAACAAATCAACCACAATTTCCCATGGTCTGCACTCTTATAGACCATAGAAATGACGCCATAAAATGTTTAAAACTTTACAGCGGTACCACTCGCCTGCGGCTCGTAGTTCCACTTGTGGTCTGAACATTTTATGACGTCATTTCCATGGTCTATAAGAGTGCAGACCATGGAAAATTGTGGTCGATTTGTTTTTTACAAACAAATTTTTATTTTTAGTTTCCTGCGAAGTTTCTCGGAAAATGTTACGTCATTTCTACAGTCTACAGTCTCACAGACCATAGCTCTCGACCAATCAGCGCGCGAGGATTCGCTTAGTTATTGTAAAATTGCTGTGTTTCAAGTTGTGAGCAGTTATTTTCATGTCCCACTCAATTTGGTGGAGTTTACACTGTTTCAATGAATTTTGATAAATTTCGTGACATAAGCGCTCGAATTCTCGAATGTTAGGGTCCAGAGTTGCAAGAGAGAGTATACATGTGATGTGTGTACGAGGAGATAGGAGATCGACGGAGATTGACAGTTTCACCTATAATTGTATTATGCAAACCTTAGTAAACAGGTCATCTACTCAAAATCAGAGATCAGTTATTTGCTCAGTGCCTTTTAGCCTGTTCACAGACCCTCTATTTTCTCTTCAAAGTCGGTCAAGCGCGCGGGGTAAAAAATAAAAACAGCGGGGGGTTTATTGACCTTCAGTGCAAAGGGGTAGAGGTAGGGGAAGAAGATTTTTTCTTTCTCGCGCTCGCCCGCTTCGCTTGAGCGCTCGCCGATATTTCCGAAACAAACGAAAAGAAAAATCAGACAATGATGTGTACAGGCTAAGTACTTTTTTTAAACTGCATACTCTTTCCGGGGTTTTGGTAGAGAATAAAATGACTTTGAAGTGGTAAAGACAAATGGATAAAAAATAGTGTCGGTAACAATAGTGTTCATTTCCTTAGGCGAGAAATGAGTTGTATAAATTATTGTTGTAAGTAATTCCATCGTCTTTTGGTTTAATCTGCGATTAGGGGAGAGGGCATGATCTCAGGCTACTTTTGGTTGAGTTACAGCGCCTGGAGTTGCTTCTTAAACCGCCGAATCTATCTGAGCGCTGCATGTTTTCGTCAGACGGTGCCCAGTCCAAGCGCGGTTCCCGGGTCCTACTCCAGACAAACTGCACGCTCGTCAGGCAGCGTCTGTGCCCGGGAACGGCTCCTCAAAATTCCAAAAATGTATTCAGACTAGTTCCTAGACCTTCCCCCTTCCTCGATTTGTTAACTTTTATGCTTAACTTCTTGCAGTATTTTAATAGATTGTGATCATTGGGTCTTTCATAATTTTGGCCCAATAGACCTCTTTAGTTTGTACTTGTTGTTTCTCGATGTAGGTCACGTGATAACAGGCTTGAGAACGATTAAGAACTGTTTCCTTCAAATTTCGTCTTATTCGATTAGGTGCATATGTACGCAAAATTTATGAAAAGTCAAAGGGGTACATTTCCTGACACTCTCACTGGGAAAACAAAACACACAAGCTAAAGAGGTCTATTTCAGCATTGAATTATCGTTCCACTTTTGGCTCTTTAAATGACGTCATTTTGTCACGTGAACAATCACTAACATAGCCTGATCAGGGTCAGGTGCTTTGAACAGCGCAACGGCCTCCCAAGAACTATATTTTTTTTTTGGGTGGGGGGTAGGGGATATGACGTCATAATGCCAACGGAGTAGATGATCGTGTGTCAATTTTGACCAATCAAACAGTCGCAGACAACTTGACTAACTATTAAGCAATGAAAAATATGTAAGTGCGCCAGCGGTGGAAGGAAAAAGTGGCGCGAAATTTTGAAATAGTCACTCATTTTGGAGAATTCCAATCCTGAGCGGTTGCATCATAAACAAAAGAGGAGAGCGAAAGAACGATAATCGGACAAAACAACAGTTACAATATTTACTGTTAACCAGTATGTAAACAAACCAGCTAAATAAGTACATGTTTGTATAATTACTTCGACGTGTCGATGTTTTAATGACAATAACACCCATCAAAAATATACACCAAAGGGTACCCCTTTACCTTAGGTGCAGTACATCAGAACTTCTGTTATAGCCCAGACACTACCTTTAAAACTGGGTTCTAACGTGAGTCCAACGTTTGGGTCTGTGCATGAAACCCTTAGGTATGACCATAGGGATCTAACACGACCATGACGAGGACGACAACGTCAAAAGATGATTGTTTTTATGAGCAAAACAACAGTTCGACAGGTGCATCGTGCTTTTGGTATATTCTTTTGACGTCCACTGTACGACTACGACGTGAAACTCTCCGACGTGACGTTTTATACACGAAGTGAACATAACACGAGGAATTTCCCTTTCTCTTTGTGAACCTGGATAAATTCCTTGAGAATTCAACTCCAGAAAACATCGCCTGCATTTGACAAATTGAGCGAATCCAAATATACGCGATTCAGTTTGAAAGAAGGCAAATTCATTTTTTTTAGCGACGTTTTCACTGCCGTCGTCGTCGTCGTTGCTTAAGCTTCCTCATTAAAATGTGTAAGCTGCTGAGCAATACTTTCTTTGGTGCTGTTTTGATGCTGTACATGGTGTTTTTCTCCTTGAGTTTTCGAACAAAATCCTAACGTTTGCATCATTCAAGTAAAATCCACTGACGCAATATGTTGCTGTTGCATTGTTTATTATGATATGGTTGTTCTAACTTTCGAGTCGTCTATAAATAACATCTTTGGCTTCTATTTGTGGGTGTTCGAGTAAAATAAAATATTTGAAGAACGTGACACTGGAAGCTTTTTCTTTCTATTTTGACTCCTTGTAGCAGTGAACGGCCATTTACTTCATTTATTGACGGGTGAACTAATTTTTATACCTCTGAACTTCAACAACCTTTCTCTGCAAGAAGGAATATCGAGTATAAAACGAAAACTCGACATTTACACTACGAGTGGGTGAATTAAAATGAACGTATCATATATAACGCTAAGCTAAATGTTCTTGTAAACTTTCATAGTGGAGCTAGAACGTCTTAAAACAATACTATGTATAAGTCTGTGGTTGAGATGTTATAGGGGGAATGGGTTCCGTCATCCGTAGAGGTCTGATCACTGGCGACGAACGGGTTAAAAGTTCGCTGATGACCCGTCCCGAGGGACGAGTGCTATCGAGTGGCTGCAGGCAGGCTGTGGAAGGTGTCTTTTCTACGCGGCGAGGAACCTGAAGTGAATAAATGTAGAACAAAAGTTGTTAACAGATGATCGACACACTGGGCTTTTTTGTGCAAAATACAGTGAGCAGCAATTCAGAGGCTCAAAACTCTAAAGCCAGACCATACACTTTAAAATACTTGGTGAAATATAACTTCGCAGAGAGAGCGCGTTCGTAATTGGGAAATAGCCCGCGCGCAAGTATCGGGGGAAGGAACAGGGAGAAACAATCCATGCCCGTCCCCCCCTACCCCCTGCCCTGGACAAGGTTGCCCCACCCCCAAGGGTTTGTACGCAAGGTATCTGCGACTTTCACGTTCCCCATACTACAATTTGTTTTCCCCACAAAATATTATCTACGTTTTTTTCTACATTTCTCACATCGGACGATTGTTAGTCCCAAGAGGAATTGAAAACAATGGAAAACAAAGCTGTACTGTAGGGAACGTGCAAGTCGTGAAAGTCGAAATGTGAAAGTGCAAGTAGAGATAAAGATCTTTTCGCTTGTGATATAAAATTAATCAATTTTAAGGTCCCATAATTTACAGTCCGCTCTACCTGTCTGGGGCCTCTTCTGATTAGTTTTCCTTCCCGTACCAAGACACCCGCTGATATATCCATCGTGTCCACCTGAACAAACACCAAATAAAAACTGATGAGAATAGAATGAAAATGAAATGAAAGGGAAAAATGAAAGAAAAGAAAACGGCATAAGTAGGTCAAAATGGAAGGAAACTGAAGTAGATATCGAAATGCTAGAGCCACGAGAAGTGGAGCGCACTTTTTTCCCCTCCGTTTTTCTCTTCGCCCCTTACTCGTGGTTCGATCTAAAAGCCCCTACTTTCTAACGCTCGGAACAAGCTGAAACATGAATTACTTGTAGTCTATACATCTGACTGGATTTATGAAAACATGGCTTCAGTGAGTGTTTTAAGGTCCTATGCTAAGGGCGTCCTTGGTACCAAGGCTTTGACCCTCCCCACCCAATGGGTGACTGTCTGCACCTCCCACTGAGCTCTGCAATCATCATGATAATCATTCTTAGCAGAGGCCTGATTCAGCTGGCTAGGGCAAATTAAGACCAAGGTACTCGCCAGTCAAAGCCTCCACTGAACATTGCTGCTTACTGAAGGGGTTGTGTCTAAAGAGCCCCCTCCCTACCCCACTAGTTTTGATCGCAAGGCCTGATCTATAAGGGCAGTCCCTGGGCTATCCAGCTGTACCGACCAAGACGTCAAGCCTCCTACTTTTTTGCACACCGGGCTCGCCTGGGGCCGGGCTGTGCCCGGCGCCAGGCGAAAACCCAGTGGCCACGTTTTAACGAAATCAGACAGATATAAAATGAAGGCCAACACGAGTTCAACGCACAGGACGACAATAGGGAGTTGAAGCAACTACGAAGGACGACGGCAACGATGACGTCAAAATACAATTTATGATATGAGCAAAACAACAGCTCTGCACGTGCATCACGCTTTTTAGTACATTTCTTTGACATCCACTGCACTTCCACGACGCGACACTTCCTAATGCGACGTTTTATGGGGGACGTGAACACAAAACGAGGAGTTTTTCTTTCTCTTTTTGAACTTGATTACAAATAAACTCCTGGAAAATTCGTCGTCCAAATTTTCAGTGACAAATAAATTGAGGAAGCTAAATAAACTCGATAAAGTTTCGTATAACGCCAATTCATTTTTTATTGACTCTTTTTTCACTTGTCACCATCGTCGTGGTTGCTTAACCCTTCAGACCCTAAGTGATCAAAATTTAAATTCTCATTTGTTGCCCCTATTCATTTCCCACAGAAGTAGTGGGGAGAAGTTGATAAAATATCAAGCAAATTCATCTTGTGTGATCATGTCCGTAATTCCCATGACCACTCTGTTTTACAAAGCATTGACATTACAAGTAGAAATTTGATGCTGATCACCCTCTGCCTGATAGGATGAAGGTCACGAATAAGAGGAGGCAGCATGGCCAAGCAGTTGGAGCGCTGGGGTTGTAATACAAGTTCAAGTCCCGCCCTGACCACAAGCTGGTTTTGTTCACGGTAGTCCCAAGTTCAAATCCTCGACCCTGCTTGTAAATAGCCAACTGGTTTGTCCCCGGCCAGTTGGGATTCTTAAACCTGTTTAAGTTTGATTTGAAGTATTTGTTTAAGCCATTTGCTCGGCAATAGCATTAGTGCTATAACTATACTGCCAAAGGTAAATAACGGAATTTTTAATCATTAAAACCTGAAAGGACGTCAGACAGTGGCCTTTCCTCCCACACTAGGCAGTTTTAGCAACATAACGGGAATGTCAGTTAACGACGGCGCGCGCATAATCAAACAACTGGCTTGACCAATGGCAGAGCGGCAAATTGGGCACCGGAAGTCGAGTTTAGACCTTTCCGTGCGCTTTCCCGTCGTCAAATGACGTTCCCGTTCCGTTGCTAAATGAGCCAACTATAACAAGGAGAAAGGACATACTAGATGCCCGAGTGCACTTCCTAATGCTAAGAGACACCAAGAGAGTCAGCACATAAATGGGGAATACATAAAAGAAAGAACCACAAACTCACCAAGGGAGGTGGTAATGGTGTTATCTGACCGGTACCTTCGATCTGATATGAGTTGTTATTTACAATGCTGGTATCAAAATTTTGCCTACGAATGTCACTTTTGGAGGGTTTCCACTCTTTCCCATGATCTGCTTTTTGAGAACTTGGTCCCAGTTTTTTAGCTCTTACACGGGTGCGTCCGGACTGGCCATCAAAGTCATCGTCCACGACTGCAAATTTTGTCCGAACTCTGGAAGAAAAGAAAGATATGAGAACTCGCGGACTTACATTGTATAGAACGTTCTCACATGACGTCACGGCGGCCATAATGGTGTCCCAAAACATCTAATAAACGGCGGCCATGTTGATGTTCCAAACAAACACTATGTGAGGTGAACTCTTTTCTAACGTAAAGCTTTTTTGTTCCAATAAATTTGCACAGATGTTCGTCACGTGAGTGTAAACGCTCTATACATATTTCTGTTCTTTCTTACTTTGTAATAATCGTAGCACTTTGAGCTACTTTGCAATCCCTTTCGCGCTTTGTTATAAAATTGTTACACTTTGTAATACCTGTTGCACTTTGTAAATAATACTTGTCATGCTTTTTTATAACAGACCAGACACTGTGACGTCATTTATGATTTCATCACAACTTGACCAACCGTAAAAATGCTGAAATAATATCTCAGATGCTATCATTCGAAATTTTAGTCTGGGAAATATAAACGTTTGTTTAGAAATCTAAGATGGAGGAGAGCATTGGGAGGCAGGGCAAATTTATTACTATACTTACATGCATTTTTTTACAATGCTTATTAGTCAACGATTGAGATTCAACAAATTTTTTTATTCCCCTTGAGGTGAGCCATACAGCCTCCCCCCCGATGGACCAAAGTAACTCTGGAAGGGATAGCTACATACCTGTGTGAGGGAAGTTTTTCAGGGGAAATTTTCATGACAGCCACCACATTTCCACGATCATCATAAAGCACATCCTTAATTCCTGGTGGTCTTCCATATTGGGCCTGTACAGATTGAGACTATTATTATTACAGAGATAAAAGACAGTTTCCAGTTTTGTTCTCACCACTAATCATTTCTGTCATTGTTCTTAAGTTTAAGACGTTTGACTAGTACTTGAGCATATATCAGTTGATGTTTTTATCTTCATGAAACAACTTTATTTGTTTTTATAATTTGACACATTAATATCTTTTTCTTCTGTTAACTATTTTTTTTTTCGCTTTCCTTTTTTCCCCTAACTTTTATTTTGTACATAAACTTAAGAATTCTTTAATAAAAAATAATTAATGTCTGCGGAGATTCTTGTCACAACTAGTTCTAAAATTGAAAGTCAGGCCACTAACAGAACTGCTATTTGGGTTGATGATGTATCGGTGATCTTCAAACATGAAAAAGTAAAATTTAATGCAATATATTAATTAACAGTAAGGTTTAAGTATTTTTATAAGTTATAGGTGATTTTAAACAGCTAGCGAGGCTTACATCTTGAACCAAAAGTATTTAACTTTAACAGATTGTAGCGATTTATTCATTGTTGGATTAGATTGTAGTTGGCTTGAATCACTTTTAAATATTTGTTACCTGTGAACTAGAGCTGAAGTAACTAGTGCTCCATGAACCGGGAGTAGAACTGTTAACAGATGACCACTGAAATCTTTCCAGTCTACTGCTCTGTTTATTTCACAATCAAAATTAAACTGTTGCATTTAATACAGTCACAGGAACATTTTTAATTACTACTTTAATTTTTCTCCTATTTCCCTACTTTGAATCTTCAGGCATTTTTACTCCACTATTATAACAGTCACAGAACAGTCGCCACCAAGTAGTTTAACTCATAAGTTGAATAGTCAGTTACATTTATTTTATAATCACCCATAGTCTTATAATTTATTAAGTTTAATGTTCTTTTTTAGCAAACTAAAGTTGGTGAGTCTGCATTAGATGGAGGGAAGAAAGAGTGTTGCTGATTGCCTTACAGGTAAAAAAATAACTGTGTATAGTGGGTTTTAAAATTGTTCTGTTCTGCTCATACAACATTGTTCACAGTGTCTCCCAAGGTCTATTTAGATCCCCTTTCTAAAATTACCCCACCTAGACTGATTCCAAGGAACAACAGAGGTACATTGGTACAATATGTAATAATTAGACCTGCCACGCCTTTTTTGGAGGATAAATTTACACTTGAAGTTCGAACCGCACTTACTTAATCAGGGCCGAGTTGTTAAAAACTGGGTAAAAAGATAACCCAGGGCCAAAGTGAAATTTGAATTCAGATATGAAAGCCTAAAACCTTAATTTGGTCTAATTCTTTTTGCCTACAATTTGATGATTGGGTGCTCTAAAAGAATAGAGGAAATGATCTCAGGAAATGCTCTTCAACAAAAGAAAAAGAAACCCGGAGGAAAATTTAACTCTGGATTAGCGCTAATTGACCTTTGAGCAACTGGGCCCTGGAGGACCAAATAAATCCTCTCCTCACGTGAGGGAAAAAAATACCTACAATAGCTCATTGCCTACCTACTCCTTCTTGGAATTGAAATGTTTGATAAGCTTAACCTCCTAACCCCCTCCACCCAACCGTCCAATCACTCCTTAAGGCAATACATCATGACAGTCACTATTATCTTTCCCTGCTCTATAAATTAATAAAAAAAAGTAACTGCAACTTCCTTAGGGAGAAAACACACACACATTCAAACTAGTTTTGCCTGCAGAAAAAAGCTCAAAAAGTTAGAACCAAAAATTAATAGACCTTCGTTTAATTATAATTTATTATTGTTAGAATTCTGTAATAAAAGTGTACCTTCAGAATTGATGTAGATGACGATAACATTTTAAGTCCATTAGTGTCTGAGTGATAATGTCTGGCCTCATCTTCTTGCTCTTCTTGTTTCTTTAGAACGTAATCATCAGTAAGTGGAGTAAGATCCACACCAGAAAATGATGGCAGCTTACCTTTGTGAGGTTTAAAAGGTACAGAAGTTCTCTTTTTATTTTGAATCTAAAGCCAGGATGAAATAACAGAATTAGAATTTATTGCTCACAGCATCAATAACTTCATACACGTCACTCAAACAAGAAAGCTTCCATAACTCATCGCAAGGGAAGTAAATGAAATTTCTAGGTGGGAGGATTGGTACAGTCTCAATGGCTGAATTGTAATAAGAAAGAGCAATTTAAATTAAAGTCTGTTTTTACAGGGGGGAGTGTGCATGTGTGTGTGGGGAGGGGGAGGTTTCAAAAGCTGTAGGCATGGGAGTGGAGAAGGGAAGGGAGAATATTTTCCTGCGCATTACAAAATGCCACTCAGGGGAGTTTCAAGAGCTGTTTAAATAGTATTTGTTTACACCTTTTTTGTATGGGCTGGCTCCTCTTGATGTTCCTCTTTTCTCTCCACTGAAGTTGGTGGTGGCAGTTGTGCAGGACTGTTGATGGACAGAGGTGTCGCAGAAGCTTCAAGGGCTTCAAAAGGAGGTTCTGGGGCTCTACCATTAACAAAGGATAAAATACAATTGTAAGTCACAGCATTAGTACCAAAGAGGAGTTTTCCAGAAATATGCAAGAGTGAAAAGGACAGAAATCTCATGCTCAAATATTTTACTGGCAAAAAAATTCAATACCCCAAAGTTTTACAAGTCTTAACAATATAATGGCATGCCATATATTGTGTGACACAAACAGCATCCAGTGTCAAGCAACAGAGACAAATACAGTCAAATATTATTTTGCCATGACATCCACCACATGGGCATAAAAAACAAAACAAAACAAAACAAAAACAATGACACACCAGGCACAGACTCAAACAATCAAATATGGAAAAAATTAATGAATAATTATAACTATTACATTTTATCATATTTTTTTTATAGCCAAATTCATTGAATCGTGCTGCACGTTTGCAAACTTCGAATGGGTTTTTCTGTTCCGTCAATCATTTGAGTGGGGGCAGAGTTAATGTTAATCACAATACAACGCACTCGCCCAGCTTGGCCCACAAAAACAAAACTGAGAATGACTCTAGACTGCTCAAGAATAGTGAAGGAAATCGTGATGATGGGTAGCATTTTTGTAGAGGGCAGGAGGCAGATATTGCTTTATTCTTTCAAGAGACAAGAATAAGAAAGATCAGAAAAATCTTTGAAGAAAACTGGTCGACTATTGCCCGAAACAGGGCAATCACAAGGAACGAACTTTAAAAGACAGAAACAAACAAAGTGGATTGAAATGCACCAATCACAAGTAATTATTTGTTTCCTAAGAGGTCCGCTAAGATGTTGACAGAACAGAAAAACCCAAAATTCCTTTGAAGTTTGCGAAACACACAGCGTGATACAATGAATTTGGCTATAAGCTATGTAGAAAAGTCAAAAGAATCTTACCCTGGTCTTTCCTCCACAACAGATGAGAGCTCTGACTCACGATCTGATTGGACAGAAGATGTTGATGATGCTGATGAAGGTCGGAGCATGATGGGGACAGATCCCTGAGCCCATGAGTCAGTGACTGCGGTAACAGGTTCTAAAAAAAAATGTAATAATTATTTTTAATGGAGCTTTCCCTGTATTAGCTTGTTAGTAATGTCTGCCACGCAGCACCAATATCCTTTTTCAAGGCCCCCGATGGCCTCAACAAAATACGGAAAGGGAGTTTTGAATTGATTGGCAAATCGAAAATGGCATTTTAAACGGGTCAATCATGGCACGTACTCAGATTCACTTAATCTCTTATAATTTTATGGGAAAACATGCCTTCTGGATGGCCAGTTTTCAATGTCTGGCTAAAAGCCTGCTTGCAACTACGTCTCTGGTACATGAATTCCACCTCCAATTCCCCTGCAGCTCCCTGTCAACTGAGCTGTCAGATTTCCACCAATTAGCGCAAAGGGGAAACAAGCGTGAATGTAAAAAAACATTCAAAAACACCTGCCAAGGGTAATGAAGTCCTTACTAATGTCATCTCCGTCAATCAGCATTTTGCATCAACTTTTTCGATGGAGATATTCAAATTGCAGGCGTGAACATGTAGTTGCAAGCACTCCTTACTTTTCCTTCACCGCCACCAGAGCGCCCCAGAGAGCTTGCTTGCACGCTTCATTTTAATACTTGACTGTCTCAAAGTTACACAGACTGAAATATTCTTCAACACCAATACTGAAAGTTACCCAGAGCTTTCAAAACCATTCAGAACCCTTCATCAGTAACCTTTCCCTAATTTCAGGTGCCCAGAATGGAACAAATGTTACAAACAGAGGCTTAAATCCCCCAGCCTTTACTTAAACTCATGAAAATCTGTTTAAAAAAATAAAATGATAATCTACCTTCCTCTTCAAGCCAGGTTGAATCGCACGCTGGATTATTCTCTCCTGTGTCACAGGCTAGAAATTGCCACTGAAAGATACAACAATAATGTTCCAGCTAAATTTATCCAACAAGGATGTTCAATATTGTCTACCCCCCCCTTTTTTTTTGCTCTGAGTCAACCCTCCAAGTTAAAGTTTTTGCGTGGTCGCCACTTGGTAACCAACTCTTTGGGTTTGGGGAGACTTTTTTACAAATCAAGTCGCCAGCTCCAAAATTTTAGGCGCCATGGCGACCAAAATGGTCGCAAGTTGGAGGGTTGTGAGTGGCTGGGGACGTTTTCCAAGAGATAGGTCACTCTGTCTTTTGGCCTCAAATATTCAGTACTGATGGTGTACATGTAAAGCTAATCAGATTCAAGCCAGGGAATCTGATTTGTTGACAAGATAAAAATATTACACTCCAGATTTACATAATCAGCATGGAATTTTTGAGGCCAAACCATGGAAGTCTCTTTCAAAAATGTCCCCAATGGCAGGGAGTGATGAAAGGTACATATATAATGCAAGCTATAGGTGACACAAATTAATTACCTCAATTATCTGTAGTAGCAGATTTTTTGTCTCCTGAATGGTGTATGGCAATGTTTGACTGACAATGTACTGATCATGCAGCACCTTCATCGTGGACTCCACTATTTCATTGACAATTTCTACCACAAATTCCTCGCCATCCTCTTGTTCCACCATATGGTGCCTGGAAATTCACAAAATGGAAAGATAAATGAAAATGGGGTAATTGCACCTTTATCTAACAATCATTCTGCATGCCGAATCTTCTAATTCGGGTATACCGTTACATGTAATATGTATCAATAAATCAATCAAACTTTATTTGTCACTTACTCTCTAATTTATTAAGTCTATTACATGATCTAGTGGCTGGAGTTCTCTGCAAGCTCAGTTGAGCTATTCCAAGGAGGTCATCTCCTTAATTTAAATGATACGTTACAGACATCGTATTGGATACAGCGGCCTTACATACTGTTAAGCAGTATATTAAAAATAAAGTAAACAGAGGATTTTTTGTAACTTTTACTGCTGACTAGTAGATGGTAAGTTGAAGTCTCCAAGTTAAATGATGATCAAGAAAGGGAAAGAAAAACAAACATCCATAATTTAGTTGTATACTGTATGTCCCTGTCTTCATGATAACTTTTTCAATACAGTGTGGGCTAGAATTCCCCAACGCATATCAGTTCGTTCGGAAGATACATTATCTGATAATTCAAGTGCACTACATACCATTCAGCTTCTGTGAATCTCCCAGGAATGATATCATTGCTTGCAGGCGGCGGAGCCGTTGCTTGCGCTGGAGTTTTCGTTTTATCTTGTCGACTTTTGTTGGACATGTTGAAGGTTTTTGATTTCACATTCCTAAGAAAAGCGAAAAATTAAAACTCCAAACAATTTTTTTAAGTCACTGTAAAGTTTACGTGAGTATTATTTTCTGGACATTACTATAAAACTTGCTGAGATTTCGCGGACATTTAGCAACCAACATGGCGGACTCAACTCGTTGATCCCAGTTGCTATGGCGCTATTTTTGCTCTCGCACCAGTCTCCCTACGTCCGTTGCGTGATCGTGACTCCCGGCATCGTGACACCGACGACTACAGAGAAGTAGTAAAAATTCCGCCGATTAACAAATACTTTTACACTCTTTTTTTTTATAAGAATATTGTTTTCCTGGGCCAGGCTGAATATTCTTATTTTTCCGCCGATTTTAGGCTGTAAATATTCTTGTATTATTCTTAATAATAGCTTATGACATTTCCGTTTTAGAATATATTAAGGTATCAATTAAAGTTTTGTTAAATATAGTTAGCTAGTTTTGCCGTTTAAAGAAAGGAATAAATTGAAAACGTATATTTGTATTGTATTTACAGATTTTCACCACACGAAATTATATCCTTTTCAAAATCTCAGCCTGGGCCCAGTTGTTCGAAGGCCGATTAGCGCTTAACCCGGGATTAAATTTAACCCGAGTTTCTTTTTCTTGTGTTCAAAGGCATTTTCTCGGGTAATTTTCTCTCTTATTTTTAGAGCTTCCAATCATCAACTCGTAGACAAAAAGAAGTAAAACTAAAACGTTTTTTAAGCTTTCAAATCTGAATTCAAATCTTGCACTAACCCAGGGTTATCTTAACCTAGCTTTGAACAACTCGGCCCTGGAGTTTATTCTTAAAGTATTCTTAAGATTTCGCAAATTTCAGCCTCGATATTCTTATAAAATATATTTTTGTAGAAAAAAAAAGAGTGTATTCGTCCTAAAATGGCAAGGTTTCCGTATAGCCCCAGACATTAATTTTGCAAACACCAGGAGCCCATGAGTGCCGGAAAAACTCACTGACAGCCCAGGAAGCCTTGATACTGGGTAGCCACAAGGGGTAGTAACAATTTTTTTCATGGCACAAAAAAAAGAAAAAATACTGCTGAGAGTACACAGCAAGAGACATTAGAAAGAAGTGGAGAGTGGTCTACGATTAACTTCATCACAACATGATTTTTTAACCCCCTTGATTCCTTCTGAAGAAAGAGGGGTGGGAGACCAGAATATTCAGAAATGGGGGCTGGTACAATTGCCAACTATATTGATGCCTGCATTTATTTTACTAAGAAATCTTTTAAAACAATATTTCACAGAAAAAGGGGAAGCCACAGCCCCCTTGGCCGACCCCCTAAATTCCCTCATGTGGAGGGCTGAGGCGCTTGAAAAGTCAGCCTTTTTATTGTTTTAGGGAGTAATTATTTTTGTTGAAATTTTATATTCAGATCCCCCTTATCTCCCAGCCCCATAATGATTCTTTTCAAAAGCTCAATGATTCAAGTAAAAACACAACAGAACAGCTAATCAGATATAAGTTGTAAAGAACAATCCACACAGTCTACAAGAACAGTTTTCTTAAAACTGACAATCAATCCACTTCAAAGGGCCATCGACAAAAGAGTAACTAACAGTCTTTAATAACCACAGCATGTTAGCCTTTCAGTCTTGTTTTAGATTTAGCTGCTGTGAAATTCATTGTCTTTCTTGACCAATGCACATCCACTCTGGTAGCTATAGTTAAAGCTCCACAGTTTGCGGTTCCATGTTTTTCAACTAAATAGCTTCTTATTCTCGTGATCCTTTGCTGATCCCATCTGCCAGTGCTGAAAACAACATTGTCCTCTGCTCTTATTGGCTGATATTTGTCAGCACAAAAGATAAATCTATTTGCCATTTTTGCAACACCAATAACACACTTCATTGTTTTCAATAGGCCACTTTTGATATATTAAAATTCAGCATAATAGTGTGGCTTAGGAGGCACAAACAAAGAAAATGAATACACACATTTCTTCATTTCTCTTTGTTGTTTTCTCCAAGACTTGCTATCATACTGAATTTTAACATATCAAAAGTGGCCTATTTCAGTTGGGATGATTGTAAAAAACCTAGGAGGAAATTGGAAACAATGGTTATCTTAATTTGGGGGAGGGGGGCACAAAATGTGTCAGCTACCACTGAGAAAATGGCAAACAAATTGCCTAAACACACTATGAAGTACCCTGCGGGCCTGACATGGGCCTATGCCGTATAAAGAAAGTTTATCACTGAAGATGCATATTAGGCCAGACACGAACTTATACTTTATAGGTAATATAAAAGTGGAGCAATGGTGAACCTGGTCGACTCTGTTTAGTTAGAATTTTTTGAGTTGACCCTTTAACTGTGTGCACAGCAGTGAATATATACAGGCCATTCCTAACATTTCTAACTTTCTGAACAATAGAGACATCGCATTGATTTATTCAGTCACAATTTGTGAACAAAAACAAAGCACGGTCTGGTGCAGCACAGTTGTTTTCATTCTTGATGTATGCCGGCCTTCATAACGATTGCCCTCCGGCTACTAACAATATGCTCATATTGCATAAGAATTTTTTGAAACTAAACAGTAAAGCCTCCACTTACACTAAAAATTTGCGCTTAAAAGAGTGAATACTAGAAACATGAAGCCTCTACAATTTGCCCAGATGCAAAATCTCCCGGCCTATGTCCTCCAAGCGTGACAGGAATTCAGCGTCAAAGTCGTGATGAACTACTACAACATCTAGTCTTCCATAAAAGACGAACTTGAGTGGAATATACAGCAAACAGAACTAAAATACTCGAAACCAGCTTTTAGCAGTTTTAACGGTCTCCACCACGATATGTTGCTGAAGTGCGTGATGAATCACACCATGAATTTCCTGCGATGATAAACCAGTGCATGACACCTGAAAGCGGAGAAAACATTTTGTGTCCAACGGCCGGGTATTTTGAACTTGCTCCCATTGCAGAGCTCAGGTGGAGTTTAACAATACAGAGAATTAGCTTTGCAATATCTTCACGAAACAAACTCCTCCAGCTAATGATACACCGATGACCCCAACAAGAAACAATACGATCAGCAGCTGCGCCATATTTGATTTTGCACTCCTCCCGCAAGGGCAAACGAACTATCTGGGGACTGGGTCTAATCTATTAAACAGTGAGCGACTAGCCTGTGAGCAGGCTCTCGGTTCTTTTTGGGGAAAGGCCTGTTCACAGGCTATGAGCGACTGGCGACTGAGATCTGATTTTCGGCCCTAGCCGGTACTTTCCATGGGTGGCGTAGTGAGATGGGAGCTATATACAGAGAACGGGTAGTGTATTGCGGTAAGAGAGGATAAAGGACTTGGTCCTTTGACCCTCTCTACAATCTGCGCGGTCAGAAGAAGTATGGACTGCGGAACTCGGACTGTGGAATGAGTTGTCAAACAAAGACCGTGACGGATTGTGAATTAAAAACAGCTCTTAGAGAAATGGATAGCTGATTAACATGAAACAGTAGTCCTAGCTATTTGCTTCACACAAAAAACATTCCTTTAAAAGCTCGTCACGAAGGCTCTTCAGGCCAGCGTTCATCGCTGCGGGCAAGGAAGTAGCCTGCGTAGCCGGCGCTTGGAAGTAGCGGGCGAAAGAGAGAAAGGGCGCGCGCGAGGGAGACACGCAACGGGTGAGGGAGCGCCTGCACGGAAGGCCCCCGAAAATCGTTTCAACTCGCACTCTGTGAGTGCGGATATTTCCAATTGGTCGAGAGGCTCCCGAGGGAAAAATTAACCGCGCGGGGCGAGAAAACTGTCAATCAATAGTACATGGACAACGTAGTGAAGATCTTGCATTACACCACTGGGTCCTGAAAGCACTAAGTTGTATACAATCAAAGTTCAGGTCTCGGAGGTCACTTCAATCTGGTTTAATGGGACTATGTGGCTGTAATCTCAAAGAAAAGTTGGAGTGTTCAAACGGTATTCACCAGATTCACGATGGAAAGAATTGACATCGGATACGAATCAACAGAAGTGGCGAGAGACAAAAGATTTGTCGAATCGTTGCAATGAAGATCAGAGGAAATATTCTTTGCTCAGGAGAACTTGGCGGCTTGTGCTGTCGATGGAACGTATACCATCAAAACTTGGACATGATTGATGAAATGAAACACTTACCAGGGGCATGAATTTGAAAAAAACATTTCACTATAGTATTATTCGCCGTTCGGAGGCGACCTGAGGTCTGTTGTTTATGTCTCATTACTGCAGTAGAAAACATGTCGGTACAGTTTGTGTTCTGAGGTTTAGGTCCGCTTAGTAAGACATGTCTGCTCCAAAAACGGCTGCCAGTTAGCGCAGTAAAAGCAATATGGTCATTTTCCACGTACCCTGTGATCGTTGGTGTCTGACCAGAACAATATTTTTAGTTTTTATAATACACAGCATGCATTCTTTAAAAGATACCCAGTTTTGACTTTGTTATTTCCTATTTATTGTGCCCATGTTAAAAAACGATTTAAAGCTGTGTGTTAACCATCAGTTTATTGCTCCATCGCTCTATAATCAGATAACCCAGCTGATCTTTATAACAGATATATTTAGACCGAAGATAAAATGTACAACGCTTTTTGGCGGCTTGCTTTGTTTGTGCGAGGTCAGTCGTTTTCTTTCAAAACTTTTGACAGATCACGCAACGGCTGCCAAGTAATTAGAGAGGGGGCGGGAAACGATTTTCGGGGGCCTTCCGTGCAGGCGCTTCCTCTCCCCTCGCGTGTCTCCTTCTCGCGCGCCCGTTTTTTCTTGTGCCCACTACTTCCAAGCGCCTGCTACGCGTGTCTCCTTCTCGCGCGCCCGTTTTTTCTTGTGCCCACTACTTCCAAGCGCCTGCTACGCAGGTCTCCTTCTCGCGCGCCCGTTTTTTCTTGTGCCCACTACTTCCAAGCGCCTGCTACGCAGGCTAGCAAGGAAGGTTATGTCGCTCGTACTCAGGGCGACTATACTAGAAGGTGGAATTAAACCAATAGAATATATGACATTGAGAAGCACCGAATAGTGGTGTGAGTTCTTCTACGTCCCACAAGGGCAAGTGAAAGTGCTGTGAGATGGGACGTACGGTTTTTCGTTCCTATCCCATCCTCGGAGACCCAAAGGCAGTCAGTCCGGTCGGGGGAAAAGGCGCGACGAAAGTTCTAAAGCAAAAGCCCCTGGGTACCGGCCCTCACCTGACCATTTCAAAACGGTCAAGCGAATGCTGGCTCCTCATTGGGCACAATTATTGTCCTCCGCCCAATCGGCGAACAGCATCGCCTGCCAAGTGTGCCTGAGTGTGTTCGTACTCGACTGCTATTGTCTCGCCATTCAGTATTGTACTTGTCCGGTTCGTTCAAGGTTGTGCGTGCAAGAGAAACTTTCATTTTCTACTTTACTAACCAGAAAAGGAACTACCGATGACTCTGGAAAACGTTCGGCAGAACCATCCCAATTTGCACCTCTTTCCTTTTTCCCGCCCCGCCCCATCCCCTTTTCGCGTACCCGTCACTTTCTCGCCTTCCCCACTCTTTCGCGTCTTCCCCACTATCCGAGAGCCTGGAACAGGCTAAAGAGCTTAAAGTGTTGGTGAGGTCAGTGTGTACTAGGTATGCGTGCAATTTCCAGGATATGTACTCTTTTGCAATAAGTTAACAATACACTTGAGGTTTGTCATTCATAATCTTTTTATTTAATACTTGATTACAATACTCACAACAAAATAAAATTTATTTTACAAATGAAGAAATTAAACCTTAAGGAGATTTTCATATAAATTATTCATTATTTTAAATCAAGGTAACGCCACTTAAACTTTTTGCTATATAAAATAATACATGTATCCTTTCTTGATACACGCAAAATATTTTTTATAAATTGCAAATTACAAAAATTATTCAGTTGCCATAGAGGAGGCAATTGTATCTGATCTGATCAATCTTTGTATAATATTTTATTTATGATAGTATTATAATTTTATCTCAATGTGTCAAAGATTTTGCTTTACAGCCAATAGGGGACACTGGTGAGATGATTATATCATATGTGAATATTAATCTATCTAGAATGATAATAAACTTTAATTTTAAAAAATACTAAAATAAACCTAATGACCAGGCCCCGGTTGTTCAAACGTTGGATAGCGCTATCCACCGGATAAATCACTATCCAGCGGATAAGTGTTACAGAAATCAATTACGCTATCCACTGGTTAGTTATTTATCCGGTGGATAGCGCTATCCAACGTTTGAACAACCGGGGCCAGTAGTAAATAGTTTTTTTGCCTGTTATCCGAAAGGGTTTAACATTTGTCTTCCTAAAAAAACAGTATAAGACGAACTTGAGTGAGGTTGAAAAGTTTCGGAATAAAACGAACAGAACCAACCACTATCTAAGGAAATTTTCGAAGAGTCGCCAACTCGGCGTCTATTGTGCAGTGGGAGCTTTATACTGCGCTTTTCACAAACAGGCGAATTCTGAAGTTCAAAAGCCAACTGACGATTGCGTTTTTCGCTGCCGTCAATCATCTTAACGGACCTCTTAGGAAACAAAACTTTACTTTAACAGGTTCAAAAGGTCACAGTTTCTGATTTGTGATGGAGGATTTTGATCCGTTCTGTGTGTTTCTGTGTTTCAAGGTTCGTTACTTGTGATCATAATTATGATTAACGGCAGCCAAAAACGCAATTGCGAGGGCGGCTTTTGAACTTCAGAGTTTGCATGTTTGTGAAAAGCGCAGTAAGAAATCATGGAAGGAGAATTGTCTTTCTCGAGTTTTATAGAGCTGGAATAATGCCGAAGAATCGAGGAGGTTCGCTGACAACAAAATTTCATCCATGCTCGCCTGACAAATTTGGGACCTTATCTTATTCCTAGTGGATTTTTCCTGTAAATTAATCATACACGCTCAGGGCCATTCGATCGGCCAATTCTCCTAAAAAAAGTAATCATTTGTCTGTATGTTTTTTGACATGCCTGCTAAGATGACCTGCCTGTCTAAAATCTTTGCCACAATGAGGACAATGGTATGGTTTCTCCCCTGTATGACATCTGAGGTGCCGGTCTAGATTTGACGCACTTCCAAAACACTCTTTGCACTCAGTGCATTGAAAGGGCTTTTCTCCGGTGTGTGTCATTTGGTGTTTCTGCAGATCCGACGCCTGCCCAAAGCATTTTCCACAATGGGAACATTTATGCGGTCGTATTCCACTATGTTTAACTTTCACGTGTCTTCTCAGATGTTGCGCTTGCCTGAAACTCTTGTCGCATTGGGTGCACTTATAAGGTTTCTCGCCTGTATGAGTTCTTTTATGTGCTTGAAGGGATGCACGATCCTTAAATCTCTTTTCGCATTCATCGCAGCTATAAGGCCTCTCACCCGAGTGTATCCTTTTATGCGTGTGAAGATTCGAAGCCTGGGAGAAACTCTTTTTACAGAGGTTACATTTGAAAGGTTTTACTCCCATATGTTTGTCCTTAAAGTGCCTGTTGAGGTGCTGTGACTGGCCGAACCTTTTTTCACACCACGAACATTTGAACGGTTTTTCACCAGTGTGGTGTCTCTTGTGATCAGTCAGCCCCGATGCTCGTGTAAAACTCTTGCCACATGTTTTACATACAAAAGGTTTCTCGCCTGTGTGTATTCTCACATGTACCTTGAGGTTGGACTGCTGTTTGAATTGCAAGCTACAGTAAGTGCATTTATAAGGCTTTTCACCTGAATGCTTTGCTTTTATGTGATTTGAGAGATGCTGCGAGTTCCTAAAGCCCTCGTCACATTGGTCACACTGGAAAGGTTTTTGTCCACCGTGCACAACTCTCTCGTGCATCTGCAAAGTAGAGAGCTGTACAAAACACCTGCTGCATTCTTTACACCTGAAACGCTTCTCGCCGGTGTGTCTTCTAAAATGCACCTTCAGATGCCACGCCTTTGCAAAACACTTGCCGCACTGACTGCACTTAGAAGTTGGTTTTTCATTACAGTGTGAATTGAAATGTCGCTTGAGATTTCCTTTCTTATTGAAACTTTTTTGACATTTAGAGCATTTAAACAGACGAGTCGCATCACTTTGTTCTGTGCTGGGTGTCTTTGAAGTGCCACTGACTGTGTTATTCCCATTACTTTCACTTTGTTGAGAGCGTTTTTCAGCAACGAGTCCAGAGGTTTCATCGGTCAGGGAAGTTGCAAAAGTGCACGCACGAGTCACATCACTTTGTTCGGTTCTAGGAGTCTTTGAAACGTCAGTGGCTGCGTCATTCTCATTACTTTTTCTTTCTTTAGAGTGTTTTTCGGCAACGAGAGCGGAGGCTTCATCGGCCAGGGAACAAGTCGAAGTGCAATGCGTTTGATCTTGGTTATTTCTCCAATACTCCTGACTCTGTATTTCAGATACGATGTCCGACAAAGAGATCATGTTTGGTTCATCGATTGGTTCTGACTTGATCACCACGTTTCCCTGCAAGGAACAAAAAGTTACTTTATAGATAGCTGATAGGATGATATTGAGTTACAACACGCACCTGAACATCAGAAATACTGTGGCCCGTGGAGTTGAAATGTTGGGCCACAGGAAACCCAGGAGTGTTGTTGCGTATACTTTGCAAATGTTCGCTAAAACAATTCCTGAGGTTTCGTTCAGTATTTCTGATGTCCGGGTGCGTGAAATGACGGTGACTTTCCAGCTTGGAACCGTTCAGCCGAAAGGACTGAATATCAATTTCAACTTCAACTCTCTGCCGGAGAGACGGAGCCAGTGTGAAAGAAATTGACATCAACTTATAAGAAACGAATTCCAAAAATGTCACATATTCTTTTGCTAAGATGGACTCGATGAACTAGAAATTGGACATGAATACATAATATGTTCAAGAAATGGATCCAAGAATTTTAGTAATGGAGTCCACTGTATGGCACGCCTCGACTAGCGTTTTATTGCTAACAGCGTGCCAAAAAATTGTACTTGCAATATTATGATGATAAATGTCTTGTCTTGTCTTGTTGTCTCTAGGCTGCATAACAGCATTATTTTTTGGCTTTTGTTTAGAGAGCGAAGGGAAGCGTGAAGCGAGCGAAGGGCGCAGTTCCCCTTCGCACGTGTTTTAGGCGCCTCCCTCGCTTTGCGATTGCCTTCGCTCTCCGAGAACACGCGAAAAAATATCGCCTGTTAGGCTATGTCAGCTATGAAATGTTTACCTATTTAATAATTTCTGCCGTTACATGCCCTTCATATGTTTTATAGTTAACTTCGTTGGAAGCACTTTTGATTAAAAGCCTGTGATTAGGCGACGTATTTTATGGTTAAGAGATGAAATGCTAAGCAAGTTTTATTTTAACCCTTGACCGACGGCCAGCTAGTAGCGAAACCATTAAGGTATATTTTCCTGGTAATTGGATGTAATTACGCTCCAATTTTGTTATTGGCGCACATGCATAAGCGAAATTTGAGTTCTTTTTTCTTTCGCAAATCTACTAGGAATTTTGTTCTTGTTCTCTTTCTTTCCTTTGATGTCTAGTTTTCTTGCACAATTAATTGTCTTTCTTTCCAATGGAATTGTGGCTGGCTAACTTTCCTGGAAAGGGGCAAATTTAACTTGGAAAGAGTAGCAACGTGAACAGAGAAAATAGCAGTGTATTTTTCCCAAAACTGTTTGGCAAGATTGGTCCTGGTTTCCAAAATGAGGTACTTGTGGAAAGATCTGTCCTTCCTTAATTCACTGCTAATCACCTTAATTGTTATAGTGAAAGCTAAGTGGGTTCAGAAATGCATAATCTACCTTATTGCATAAGAATTGAAAATGACTCCACCTGCCCTCAAAGGGTTAAACCAGAAAATGAGTGCTGTAGGTGATCCTTTTGTGGTGGAAAATTAAGTTCAAAATTCAAAGCACTTTGTTAAGTAGTGAAAAGTAAGTACTGATGGGCCTATTGATGGGAGGGGCCTAGGGGTCAGTAGCCCTCCCCCCCCCCCACTGGACCCATCGATGTCGTTGCTCTTCAATTTTCTGCATGCTGACAGACCCCACCCCCCCCCTCAATTTTCTGCATGCTGATATTTTGAATTGATAATACATCATTTGCTCCCAGTATTGTCAAGAAGCAACATTAATTTGTACAATGTATCAGTGGCAGCAGTCAAATCATGCCCCAAGATTCAAAAATGGTGGTTTGTGGAAAAGCAAAAGTAGAAAATTCCTGACTAACTGTTCTCATTATTAAAGTCAGTTCTTTCACTTGTTTTAACTTGATTTTGATTTGAAGAATATAAAGTCTATTAGTTAAAACAAAGTTTGTTTTTAAGACGTAGCATTCACTTCACCTTCAACCCATCTCAACCGTATAATAAACAGCTTTTTAATGGGCCATTTCTGAGTTCCCAAAACCCTCACTTTCAAAATGAGGCCAAGTGCACAACCTTTCTTGTGAAAATGAGTTTTGTTTGCATGAGAATGAAAACTCATTTTCATATCAAAGGCTGAGCACTTAACCTCGTTTTGATTCAGGGAATCGGAAATGGCCAATTGTGGACACTGCTTCACTCTGTTGCTGCCAATACAGGAAGTTCCAATGAATTCCCTTTTTAGGGAAAAGTATGGATTACCAGCAACAAACAGCTTTCCTTCTGAGTGTAATCTTGAATAAACACCACCAAATACAGGCATGGATCCACACTGATTTCCACCATTTTACAGAAATCAGTCAGATTTTTCATAATAAATATATTTTTAACAATAGAAAAAACTTTCCAAGTTGAAGTCAAGAGGTTAATAGTCTGCCGATTTGCAAGGCTTCATCGGAGGAGAACACAACTGGCCAATGTCATGTCTGAATGACTCAAAAACCCAGGAAAGGGGACACTTTAGGAAGTTAAAAGCATTTCCTGGAAGAGCATGCCCCTAGGTCACCTAGAAGCTTGCACCTTCGGCCCTCATTTAGGAAATTGGTCAGTATTTATCCTAGATCCATGCCTTTCACCCCAAAATTTTGCTTTGATGGAGCTGCTGATCAACCAGAAAAAAAATGGGATCTTCTTTCCATGAAGTGCTTAAGGTGGCTCGACTGGAATTTTCGGGTTGATACCTCCCAAGTTTGAGCATTAACTACGTCGGCATGAGTAAAGATATGGAAAAAGGTTACAACAACTGTATTATATAAAGATGAAAATTTCTTATGATCTGGGTTTTATTACAATCGAGTCGCCATGGCAATGTAATGACGCCATTACGTGAAAAAAAAATATCGCCTGTTAGGCTATGTCAGCTATGAAATGTTTACCTATTTAATAATTTCTGCCGTTACATGCCCTTCATATGTTTTATAGTTAACCGTTGGAAGCACTTTTGATTAAAAGCCTGTGATTAGGCGGCGTATTTTATGGTTAAGAGATGAAATGCTAAGCAAGTTTTATTTTAACCCTTGACCGACGGCCAGCTAGTAGCGAAACCATTAAGGTATATTTTCCTGGTAATTGGATGTAATTACGCCCAATTTTGTTATTGGCGCACATGCATAAGTTTAAATTTGAGTTCTTTTTTCTTTCGCAAATCTACTAGGAATTTTGTTCTTGTTCTCTTTCTTTCCTTTGATGTCTAGTTTTCTTGCACAATTAATTGTCTTTCTTTCCAATGGAATTGTGGCTGGCTAACTTTCCTGGAAAGGGGCAAATTTAACTTGGAAAGAGTAGCAACGTGAACAGAGAAAATAGCAGTGTATTTTTCCCAAAACTGTTTGGCAAGATTGGTCCTGGTTTCCAAAATGAGGTACTTGTGGAAAGATCTGTCCTTCCTTAATTCACTGCTAATCACCTTAATTGTTATAGTGAAAGCTAAGTGGGTTCAGAAATGCATAATCTACCTTATTGCATAAGAATTGAAAATGACTCCACCTGCCCTCAAAGGGTTAAACCAGAAAATGAGTGCTGTAGGTGATCCTTTTGTGGTGGAAAATTAAGTTCAAAATTCAAAGCACTTTGTTAAGTAGTGAAAAGTAAGTACTGATGGGCCTATTGATGGGAGGGGCCTAGGGGTCAGTGGTCAGTAGCCCTCCCCCACTGGACCCATCGATGTCGTTGCTCTTCAATTTTCTGCATGCTGACAGACCCCACCCCCCCCCTCAATTTTCTGCATGCTGATATTTTGAATTGATAATACATCATTTGCTCCCAGTATTGTCAAGAAGCAACATTAATTTGTACAATGTATCAGTGGCAGCAGTCAAATCATGCCCCAAGATTCAAAAATGGTGGTTTGTGGAAAAGCAAAAGTAGAAAATTCCTGACTAACTGTTCTCATTATTAAAGTCAGTTCTTTCACTTGTTTTAACTTGATTTTGATTTGAAGAATATAAAGTCTATTAGTTAAAACAAAGTTTGTTTTTAAGACGTAGCATTCACTTCACCTTCAACCCATCTCAACCGTATAATAAACAGCTTTTTAATGGGCCATTTCTGAGTTCCCAAAACCCTCACTTTCAAAATGAGGCCAAGTGCACAACCTTTCTTGTGAAAATGAGTTTTGTTTGCATGAGAATGAAAACTCATTTTCATATCAAAGGCTGAGCACTTAACCTCGTTTTGATTCAGGGAATCGGAAATGGCCAATTGTGGACACTGCTTCACTCTGTTGCTGCCAATACAGGAAGTTCCAATGAATTCCCTTTTTAGGGAAAAGTATGGATTACCAGCAACAAACAGCTTTCCTTCTGAGTGTAATCTTGAATAAACACCACCAAATACAGGCATGGATCCACACTGATTTCCACCATTTTACAGAAATCAGTCAGATTTTTCATAATAAATATATTTTTAACAATAGAAAAAACTTTCCAAGTTGAAGTCAAGAGGTTAATAGTCTGCCGATTTGCAAGGCTTCATCGGAGGAGAACACAACTGGCCAATGTCATGTCTGAATGACTCAAAAACCCAGGAAAGGGGACACTTTAGGAAGTTAAAAGCATTTCCTGGAAGAGCATGCCCCTAGGTCACCTAGAAGCTTGCACCTTCGGCCCTCATTTAGGAAATTGGTCAGTATTTATCCTAGATCCATGCCTTTCACCCCAAAATTTTGCTTTGATGGAGCTGCTGATCAACCAGAAAAAAATGGGATCTTCTTTCCATGAAGTGCTTAAGGTGGCTCGACTGGAATTTTCGGGGTTGATACCTCCCAAGTTTGAGCATTAACTACGTCGGCATGAGTAAAGATATGGAAAAAAGGTTACAACAACTGTATTATATAAAGATGAAAATTTCTTATGATCTGGGTTTTATTACAATCGGAGTCGCCATGGCAATGTAATGACACCATTACGTGAAAAAATATCGCCTGTTAGGCTATGTCAGCTATGAAATGTTTACCTATTTAATAATTTCTGCCGTTACATGCCCTTCATATGTTTTATAGTTAACTTCGTTGGAAGCACTTTTGATTAAAAGCCTGTGATTAGGCGACGTATTTTATGGTTAAGAGATGAAATGCTAAGCAAGTTTTATTTTAACCCTTGACCGACGGCCAGCTAGTAGCGAAACCATTAAGGTATATTTTCCTGGTAATTGGATGTAATTACGCTCCAATTTTGTTATTGGCGCACATGCATAAGCGAAATTTGAGTTCTTTTTTCTTTCGCAAATCTACTAGGAATTTTGTTCTTGTTCTCTTTCTTTCCTTTGATGTCTAGTTTTCTTGCACAATTAATTGTCTTTCTTTCCAATGGAATTGTGGCTGGCTAACTTTCCTGGAAAGGGGCAAATTTAACTTGGAAAGAGTAGCAACGTGAACAGAAAAAATAGCAGTGTATTTTCCGCAAAAATGTTTGAAGGGATTTTGTGTAACTCTGGCAGGATTGGTCATAGTTTCCAAAATGAGGTACCTGTGGAAAGATCTGTCCTTCCTTAATTCACTGCTAATCACCTTAATTGCTATACTGAAAGCTAAGTGGGTTCAGAAATGCATAATCTACATTATTGCATAAGAACTGAAAATGACTCCACCTGCCCTCAAAGGATTAAACCAGAAAATGTATGCTGTAGGTGATCCTTTTGTGGTGGAAAATTAAGTTCAAAATTCAAAGCACTTTGTTAAGTAGTAAAAAGTAAGTATGATCTGATGGGCCTATTGCTCTTCAATTTTCTGCATGCTGACAGACCCCCCCCCCCCTCAATTTTCTGCATGCTGATATTTTGAATTGATAATACATCATTTGTTCCCAGCATTGTCACGAAGCAACATTAATTTGTACAATGTATCAGTGGCAGCAGTCAAATGATGCCCCAGGATTCAAAAATGGTGGTTTGTGGAAAAGCAAATGTAGAAAATTCCCGACTAACTGTTCTCATTATTAAAATCAGTTCTTTCACTTGTTTTAACTTGATTTGATATGAAGAATATAAAGTCTATAATTTTGTTAACACAAAGTTTGTTTTTCAGACATAGCATTCACTTCACCTTCAACCTATATCAACTGTATGATAAACAGCTTTTCAATAGACCATTTCTGAGTTCCCAAAACCCTCACTTTCAAAAGGAGGCCAAGTGCACCACCTTTCTCATGAAAATGAGTTTTATTTGCGTGAGAATGAAAAGTCATTTTCATATCAAAGGCTGATCACTTATCCTCGTTTTGATTCAGGGACCCGGAGGAACTAAGAAATGGCCCATTGTGGACACTGCTTCACTCTGCTACTGCCAATACAGGAAGTTACAATGAATTCCCTTTTTAGTGAAAAGTATGGATTACCTAAAGGTCTCAACAAACAGCTTTCCTTCTGAGTGTAATCTTGAATAAACACCACTAAATACGGGCATGGATCCACACCGATTTCCACCATTTTATGGAAATCAGTCAGATCTTTCAAGATAAATATATTTTTTTAAAAGAAAAAACTTTCCAAGTTGAAATCAAGAGGTTAATAGTCTGCCGATTTGCAAGGCTTCATCGGAGGAGAACACAACTGGCCAATGTCATGTCTGAATGACTCAAAAACCCAGGAAAGGGGACACTTTAGGAAGTTAAAAGCATTTCCTGGAAGAGCATGCCCCTAGGTCACCTAGAAGCTTGCACCTTCGGCCCTCATTTAGGAAATTGGTCAGTATTTATCCTAGATCCATGCCTTTCACCCCAAAATTTTGCTTTGATGGAGCTGCTGATCAACCAGAAAAAAATGGGATCTTCTTTCCATGAAGTGCTTAAGGTGGCTCGACTGGAATTTTCGGGGTTGATACCTCCCAAGTTTGAGCATTAACTACGTCGGCATGAGTAAAGATATGGAAAAAAGGTTACAACAACTGTATTATATAAAGATGAAAATTTCTTATGATCTGGGTTTTATTACAATCGGAGTCGCCATGGCAATGTAATGACGTCGTTACGTTTTTCATTTATCGTTGTGTTTCTCCGTACCAGGAGTTTTTTGAAGAAATCGCTTAAGGGAGTATGTGCCTGCCATAATTGCCTCCATTATGGCGAAGTTTGAAGAAATTCTATGAGAGCGTTTTCGAGATATTTCGAAATGCAGTTTTAAGAATCATCAAAGCAGTGAAATAGCATGCTAGCAGCACAATTCGCTAATATTTTAAGAAAATGATAAGCTTTGGGAATGTGGCTTCATCTCATAGTGGTTTGATTCCATTGAAAACTGCACACAAAAAAAGAGGGGAATTGCTCAGGGCGATCGCGAGTAAGAAGAATTTTATTAACTTGCATTCAGCTGCTTTTGATACAGTTTTTGGAGCTAATTTGGTCCATGCCTAAAAATTTCGCATTTTTCCAAAAACCGCTCAATAAATTTTTTTATAAATTCAACAATCCCGAGATCAATCGTCAAGAAATATTCCCTGCAAGTTTAAAAAACATTGAAAACAGGGAAGGCTTTTAAATAGGGACTCAAACATAACCAATTTTCCCCCCAGATTTTGTGTTTACAAGTGAGCGTCCTCATTATTCACTGGCATTGTTTTCAAGTTTCATATGCACGTGCACAACTAGCAAAAGATATAAATTTGCATCAAAAAGAACTCTCGATTACTTTCCGAAGAAATATCCGGTATATGCTAATAATTGGCTTGTCGTCACAGATAGCAGTGAGAGCCGAAACGGTGAACGTCACGGCTCATCGTGTAGGATGCAATACTTAATTATCTTACTTGGGTTATAACATCACAGAAGCTCTCACAAAGAGTTGCTCTGATGTTATAATGTATCACTAACCTCTTTACCCGTTAATTAGCATATCCCGGAGATTTAACCGAGGGTCCTTTTTGATGCAAATTCTATCTTTTTGCTAAATGTGCACGTGTATATGAAACTTGAAAACAATGCCAGTGAATAATGAGGACGAATATGAAGGAGGAGTGAATAATGAGGAGTGAATATTTGAGGCCCTATTTAAAAGCCTTCCCTGTTTTCAATGTTCTTAAAACTTGCAGGGAATATTTCTTGACGATTGATCTCGGAATTGTCGAATTTATAAAAAAATTTATCGAGCGGTTTTTGGAAAAATGCGAAATTTTTAGGCATGGACCAAATTACCTCCAAAAACTGTATCAAAAGCATGTGAGTGCAAGTTAATAACATCCTTCTTACTCGCCATCGCCCTGAGCAATTCCCCTCTTTTTTTGTGTGCAGTTTTCAATGGAATCAATCCACTATGAGATGAAGCCGCATTCCCAAAGCTTATCATTTTCTTAAAATATTAGCAAATTGTGCTGCTAGCATGCTATTTCACTTTTTTTATGGTTCTTAAAACTGCATTTCAAAATGTTTCGAAAACGCTCTCGAAGAATTTCTTCAAACTTTGCCATAATGGAGGCAATTATGGCATGTACATACTCCCTTAAGCGATTTTTTCAAAAAACTCCTGGTACAGAGAAACACAAAGATAAATGAAAAACGTAATGGCGTCATTATGTTGCCATGGCGACTCCGATTGCAATAAAACCCAGATCATAAGAAATTTTCATCTTTATACAATACAGTTGTGGTAACCTTTTTTCCATAACTTTACTCATGCCGACGTAGTTAAGGCTCAAACTTGGGAGGTATCCCCCTAAAAATATCCAGTCGAGCCACCTTAAATATTACAACCCTTATTATACAATATAACAAGGCTTAAACTGTGTGCAATTAGTCAGGCTACAGGTCCAATCCATTGTTGAATGGACATCTGTTAACCGTAAGCAACTAAACTTCAAGAAAATGTGGGCAATGCTTCTTAAAGGCAAATCCACTAAGGCTTTACCAGTTCCTCTGGCTTCTATAGAATGGAAACCCAGTCTAAAGTTGCTGGGTGTAACTTTTCAGTCCGATCCATGTAACTGGGATTTACATTTAGATAATATTCTATCGAAAGCTAGTAGTTGTTTGTACATGTCATGTGTTTGTAAATTCTATGGATTGCCGTTGGATCATCTTCATCCTCTTTTTACTAATCTTATCTTACCTATATTTACATATGCTGTGGAAGTATGGGGCTGTGTGTATTATCATAAGTACTGTAAATCCTCTATTAAGCCCCCCGGGGGGCTTATTTTTTTCAAGCACTTTTGAGGGGGGGGGGGCTTAAAAGAGAGGGGGGGCTTATTTAATTTAGCGAAACGAATCACCAGTAGCAAAAATACCGTGGTATGAGACAGAGTAGACTTACGCGTTGTACAATTAAAGTCACTGTCAAAAGTATTTAATTCACTTGTGGGAGCCTAAAAGTAACAAAAACAAAATTCATATTCTTCAAAAATGTACTTTCTGCCTCATGTTCTTTGGTAATTTTTACGAATAAACCATAAATGATCAGTCCACGTTAATTTTTTGTGAAGAATAAGGATTGGGGGAGGGGGAGGGGGGGCTTATTAACTTTCCTCCTCTGAAAAGGGGGGGCTTATTACTTAAGTCGCATAGACAGGCTGTTCAAGAGAGCTTTTAAGCTTGGTTACTGTAAAGAACTGTTTTTTTTTATCGAAAATATTATTGCCCTGAAAGATAAGAAGTTATGGGACAAAATCACCGACAGCAATTCAACAACAGCTTTGGATGACCTTCTGCCACCGGAGCAAACTATGGTTATGTTACGTAAGAGGTGTCATAACTATATTCTTCCACCTGTCAGTACTAAGCATTTCAAGACAACTTTTGTAAATAGATGTTTGTTCTCTGGTAAGTTAGTTAGTTACCTCGTTAGTTAATTAGTTATCTGTATGACTAAATTTATATCATTGTAACTAAACATGTCTGTTGTTTGGAGTGTTTAATAGAGACCTTTATTATTATTATTATTATTATTATTATTATTATTATTACAGAGCTGAATCATTGATACACAGCGATAGCTTACATTCACTGACTAAGACTTAAACTTTTTTCTAACTCTGCCATCATTCAAACGTCTAAACTTGGTGTGTGGATTACCTACGAGTGCAGCTTTTCTACTGGTTTTTACATTAGTCAGTGGAAACTGGAAAAGAGAAAATGAATCCCATATGTAGGAAAAATTTTAATACTAGGGTTTTTAAAGAAACACTCACATATCTAGAACAGTATGGGATGAAGTTCTTGGTTACTTTTACAATGTACTTTTAAATACCATCAGTTGGGGAACAGGCTACTCATTAATAGCTGTTGAAGCGACTCTGCAGAATGTAGCAAAGGTTACTCACTTGAAAAGTGTTCCCACCCAAATGGCAAGCCTGGTTGTGTGAAGTCTGACGAGAACCATTCTCCATACTGTTTGTTTGTTTCTCATTGACCATGATTTTATTCAATGCATTTTAAAATGCTAAATCTGAAATAAAATAGAAAAGGCATTCAACAACTATTGTAATGTCAGGTTGTTAGACAAGCAAGATAGGTACTGCAAAGTTCAGGTTATTTGAGCAAGAAGAGAATAAACACCACCAAATACAGGCATGGATCCACACCGATTTCCACTGTTTTACTGAAATCAGTCAGATTTTTCATAATAAATATATTTTTAATAACAGAAAAAGTTGAAAACACAAGGTTAATAGTCCGCCGATTTGTAAGGCTTCATTCGAGGAAAACAGAACTGGCCAATGTCATGTCTGAATAACTAAAAAACCCAGGAAAGGGGACTTAAGGAAGTTAAGTACTTTAGGTACTGCAAAGTTCAGGCTATTTGAGCCAGAAGAGAGCTCAACATGCTCTTTTCACCTGACTAAGCATGAGGTACAGTACATGTACGTGGGGGTGTCAGTGCCACTACTCCCCTGTTAGGTCAAGAGTCTAATGACGCTCTGTTAGGGAAAAATACCATCAAGCAACAAGACCCTGACACAGCAACATAAAGTCGAGATGAAATGGAAACAAACAATGTAAAGATGGATAAATACCTACCGGGACATGGCCTCCTCCTCAAAGAGCAAAACGGTCATATTTGAAATTTAGACGAGGGATGGATATACATACCACACTAAGAGGGCCTCTCCAATGGTGACATCCCTATCAAGTAGACAGTAGCAAGGATGATCACTTGAGTCATTCAAACAGCTACAGTGTTATAAAGTCAGCTGTTGGGTAATTCAAGGATTATATCTGCATTTTGGGACAAGAGAGCCAATGGTGAGTTTATGCTGTGATTTAATTTTCTTCAGGTTCAGTTTCTCATGTGGACATAATATCAGCAACCGCTTTAGGTTCTTGTATGGCCACTAGCTGACTAGCAGTCACAAGACAGCTGTTCTTCACTCAAACCCGATGTTGTTTACTTAAAAGTTAGTTTCTTAATCAGTTATAACAAAATTCATTTCTATTATCACACCAGTCTTAATGGTTTAAAAGGGTGTAATCAACTAAAAAGCTTGCATCAGAAGAATTTATTCAGAATCAGAAGACGATTAAGTTAGTAGCCTTGTTCAAGTCAGATTATTCCTGCATTTATCATTTACGCTAGCTTGAGCTAAAAAATCGAAACAAAACCAGATCAAATAAAAATAATTCAAAATAACCTTTTGATCTTGAACATGCATGTACATGTAGTAATTTTCCTGTAAGTAAGCTTCTGTTTATATGCAGCAAATATGATCAAAATAAAGGAAGCTTACTGACAATCAGCTGTACCATCAATACCAGTTGTACATTTACACGAAAATTCCGTTATCCTTGTCTTCCAGAAACCGTCCTGTACCTTTCTTTTTAACTCCTTTTCAAACTGATCTTCAGGTCATCGTCGACTTCCATCGACTCGTCATCTGCTTTCCTCACCGAATCATTCACACAACAAAAACGTACCTACATGAAGTAACTAGACAAAATTGAAAGTGCCGCTGGAATTCGGCCCGATCCCTCCCACCGGGTTGGCCCGTTCACATTTTCTTCACAAACCTTCTAAACTTTTCTAGTTGGAGTAAGAAAAAAGGAAAAACGAGTTTTCTTTTACTATAAACAAAAATTACCTTATCACTAAATTAACTCAAAAAAGAGAAAGGAAATCTGTGGACAAGCTGGCAGGCCCAGCATCGATTAAACCTAACATGTTTACTCAACAGAGTTTTATACGGGGAGGCTCCGCCCCGTGGTCAACTCTTACCACTTTATATACCATTTTAGACAGAAAAGGTACCCTTTTCCTATACCTTCCATTGGGGAATGGTACCCCTTTCAAATACCTGATTTTGAACGTTGCACCCTTGTCAGTTGTTGTAAATGCACTCACCGCTTTGAAATATGATAAAATGACAAGACTAGGAAATTTTCTCGACTTTATCACAGCCATAAATTCCTCTGTCAGCCCTTGCGGGTGTTTTTACAGACGGAAAGACAGCTTTACGTACAGTTAATATACTTCAGCTAGTGAAATCCCTACCCTTTTATATATCTGAGGCCTCACTAGGGCACCCCCTTGGGGCGGAACCTCCCCGTATAGACCATTATAGGGAACACCCCTGGATGAGACTGAGTGTCGCTCGTACCCAGTACCTGGGTAACAAGGATCCTAGCCCCAAGTTGTATGTAACCATCAAGGGCTTCACGGCCAAATGGTGGTAGGGCAATGCTCTTGGCAATTTGGATGACAAAGGTTTGATTCCTTCTGAAGGCTTTTCCCATGTTAAAAGTTTTTTTTCGGCTGGGGCGGTTCCGGGTTCAGTAGAAATTGTCCACCCGCCACCCTAAATTCAACCATCAGACCAGGACATTATTTTTTTTGATATGTTGAGAGCTTGTGAAGCTCGCTAGGCTTTTTAACGAGAGGACCAAGACTCTGTTCTTTCTCTTTAAGATAGCAGTTTAATTTTCAAAAGCCACTGACAACAACTCTACTAGCTTACGCAGCGAATAAAATAATCAAATTGTAGACTTATTTTGAGTTAACTGACCGGAAGAGTTTCTGTTGAATACCTTATCGCCTATATCGCAACAGGTTTGCTATAGTTAGATAAGCCTACACAGCCGCAACCGACAAGTACCAAAGAACCAGTTAAATGCTAACAGTGAAACTTCCCAGAAGGACAAAACATGCAAAACACGAACGCGGTTGTGAGTAAACTGGGTAAAACTCAAGGTCAGCTGTACTCCCCAAAACAAGCCTACTTCAAAGAACCAAAACTAAGCTTAACAAACACTTCAAATGGATAATACTAGACAAAAACTCGGGAACTAACCATGTGGGGAAATACATTGAATCTCTAAGTCTCTAAGTCTTTAAAAGTCTATAAACTGTTTATCACGAAGCTAGCAAAGTCTTAAAAAAAAAAATTAAATAGCAAAACTGAAAAACAAAACTAAAGGCAACTACCTCATAACATATACAAAATTTAATGAAAAAGTGCCAAGAAGTTTGAATTGAAGGATTGCATATGAAGAACTGCTTAGTTAAAAATTTCTAGAAAATAAGGTAAATAACTACAAGAAATGGTTAGCTGTGAAAAGATTTTAATCTTCTCACTGTTTAAAAACAGTTAGTTTGAATCGCATACGTCTCCACCTGGAGACTTATGACATTTCAGACTATTAAACAGTAAGCAAAGTTTTGATCCTTCATCTAAAAAGTATTCTGAATCCTGCCCTATGCTCTATGATGAATCTTTCAATTAAGGTTCTGGTTCTTCTATTCCCCATCCTTCCTTTAGTGCTTTGTATGCTGTTTGGAGGGCTCCTTCATTCCATTCCACGATCACCGCAAACGCTTCACCGACGATGTATATCTGCTCTCCTGGAAAAGGGCGCTTGGCCCATTCCTCTGTATCGTGACGGCTGACGTTAGATCCTACCTTTGTGTAATGCCTAAAACATTACGTAAATGCTCGAATTAGCGCCACTCTTTAGACAAGCGCCCCCACCCTTAACACCCGCCCCTTACAGAATCATATGGTATGCAGTGCGCAAGTTTTAAATGAACACAGCATAACATGTAAAATCACTAGAGAATTTGAGAGTTTTTAGCCGGGGAAGTACTCCCTTATACAACCCATGTAGGTATGTGCCGCCCTATAGGTTACGTTTTTTTGCGCCGTTTTTGTCTGAAAATGGGTATAGACTTTGCCCATTTCTGTCTGGAATCGGGTGTGGTTTTCGAGGGAACTACGGAAGTGTATGATTGTATTTATAGTTTCAATTCCAAATGAGTATGAAAGAAAGAGAAATGTGCGAATTCGAAATTGATTTTAAGAAATCTTTTATGTTGCTCTCTAATCTAAGTAATGACGACATGATTTCTTAGAGGCCAGGGCCGGGTTGTTCAAAGCTGGGTTAAGATAACCCAGGGTTAGTGCGAAATTTGAATTCAGATATAAAAGCTTAAAAAGCAAATTTGGTTTAATTCTTTTTTTCTACAATTTGATGATTGGCTACTCTAAAAACATTAGAGAAAATAGTCCGAGAAAATGCTTTAGATGATGAGAAAAATGACCCGAGTTAAAATTTAACCCAAGGTTAGCGTTAATCGGCCTTCGAACAACTGGGCCCAGGACTGAAAACGGGTGCGAAAAATGACATTTTTTCGCCTGAAATAGGGTCAGGATTTGGAGAACAGGGTGGCATGCCCCCACAAAGAATTCCCAGGAGTACCCTTCCCCCGGGTTTTTTTCTCTAGAAAATGGGAGGGGCCACCTTCTAAGGGAAAAGTTCTGGGAACCAGGCTGGAGTCTTAAGGCTACAAATTTCTCTAGGACGTATCACAGCGTGAGAGACTGATTCATCCCATTTTTAAACTCCTTTTCTTTCAAGAATTAATGCAGGCGAAGAGACTTCTTAAAAAAATTTGCAAGTGAGCACCAAGCAGTCTTTGATGTATTGCGTGCGGTCTAAGGGCACGCGCATTCCATATTGAACGAAACTGGTTTTGAAAAGTAGTAAGTTTTGAGCACAGATGTGGTCGGCGGCTACATAAAAGAACGCGCAGTGGCCTGAGTACCCAGCGGGAGTGTTATTTAGCATGCATGAGCAAAGTTTTTGGCATAGGAATTGCAAAGCCGTGCAGAGAATGGGGAGGTCGCTTCTCGCAGCAAAGTCCGCGAGAATGGCTAAAACTCTCACACGCGCAAAAACAATTTTGCCAGCTGCGCAGGCCACGCGTCGGGGGTTGGCAGAAGCCTTCCTCTTCCTCAGGCTCCTTCTTCTCTTGCTGTGAGAGATCTTTAACAGGGAATCGTTCTTTGATTCCAGTCTGTTTGACCCATAGTTTTTTACGGGCTTGTTGCTGTGAATCTAGATTTTTTCATGATCGATTTAATTTAATACTTGCCAGCACGCTTCCCAGTACTTGAATTTGACGTCGAGGGGTTCCGGAACAACCATTCCTGGAAACACCGCCTGCACAGCTTTATTCAATTCCGATAGGAACGTGGCTCTAGGTAATTTGGAAAGCTGGCCCCATTTCACTGCGCAGTCGTAAAAATTGTAGCTTAGTTGAATGATTCCTTCACCTTGAGGTCCTCGGCTAAAATGCAAAGAAAGACAAACTTGGCAATTAGACATTTGGGGCATTAGTAACAGATATAATGCTGAGTCAGTGCTAAGATTAGAATGCCGAGATGACGTGAACCACGGTCATATCTTCATTTGCCCGGTTCACATAATCTTTATTCTGTTTGTGTTTTATTCCTTTCACGGGTTAAGAAGAACTCAACAAACTGGGCAACTTCGTCCGCATGGCTTTTCCCTTAGAAAATTGAGGGACGGAAAGCCTTGGGGATCGACAAGGTCGCAAATTGTCCTGCTGCCAATGTATGGGTCTTCTTTCTCAGTTGGTGGAGTAGTTCAGCGCTAACACAGAGGCCATATGTTTGAATCTCGTTGAAAATCCGTTATTGTTGTTGTTGTTGTTGTTTTTTTTGGTGGGGGTTGAGCTTAATTTACAATTGCTTAAATTACTATGGCAACCGCAACGATCATATCTTCATTTAAATGATAGTGCTTTTTCAGTTAGGCAGAGCTTGGCAGTAGGCTTAGCCACAAGTTGCTCGGCAACTTTTGGGCAATTTTTCATTTTTTTAGCATTTTTTAAACTATTTTTTACTTTTTTCGCGACATTTACTACCTTTCGCTAGCTAATTTCAAGCCAGAACCTCGCTCCCATTTTGGTTTAAATTCCAGCATCCCGGCCCTCAAATAAGGCAAATCCCGCTGGCTCCCAAAAAACCTATCGGGAACCCTCCAATTGGACACAAAGTTGACCTGGCCAGTCAGTCAAAGCAACAGCTAAATGGCCAATATACCTCCAATCAGTTGTAATCTTATGCAAGAGTAAGCATCATGAAAACCCTGAGATGAGCCCTGCACCTTGATAAAAGTTTCTCCTTACCCAGCCAGGACTAAAAAATATTCCGCTCCGGCTCCGATCATAAAAGGTTACTTTGTCCCCGGTAAAATTACATTGGGGGATGATTTTCGTTCAGCTTACCTGTAAGGCATCATATACACCAAACAAGTAGCAGTTGATACGTATCTTTTCCAGGTCTTCAACGACATGTTATGGACCGAGGTTGCGTTTTCCCACCAAGGATACTTGTAAATCGCCACTGCTTTGAAGCATTTTTGACCAATGATATGTGTGAAATAAGTATGATTTTTTATTTCAAAGCCGATATCACCGTTTATCTCTTTTAAGGGCAAAAATGGGATAGCAACGATAACCTTTTTAGCCGATACAACGTAACGTTCAGTACGGACTACAAACGTGTTTGGTTCTCCGTCTCTGTTGATTGAGCTCACAGCTTCCTTTGCGTACATTCTAGCCCCAAAACGCTTCACAGATTTCGCTAAAGCATCCACAATTTCGGATAATCCACCTCTTGGTCTAACGTATTCAGATGTAAACTTCATTCCGTTATTACTCTCGTATCTAGTCAGCGTACTTCTCGCCATATTATAATTCATTTTTATTCCATAAATCAGATTTAAAAAGGCACATCCTTCACTTCCAACTCGCTGGCAAAGGAAATCGTGGTAAGACGGATACTCTAAAGCTTTCTCTTTGGACATGTTCCTCCAAGCAAACGCAAACATCTGAGAGGGAGTCATGTTAGCAAAGACAGTGGACATCAGAGTGGGAAAGGCTTTTTCCTTGAAGGACTAATGGTTGTCGGCGTATATTCCTCTGCCTTCTAAATAATCAATGCTCAAAGGAGGCATTTTAAACATCGAGATATAGAGCCTTTTCGCTAAGTTTCTGAAAAAGAAAAAAACATAAAAGGCTCTTCTTAATAATTTAGCTTGAGTCTGAAGATTTAAAAGTTGATTTTTGGCATAAATAAAAGGTATAATTAAAATTAAGAGCTGCAGCAACTTTTGAAAACTTACAACATTTTCTTGTGAGCTGTGTTTACTCTCCAAGCTCCCATACCTAATAAAGAAACACATACTGAAGAATGAGCGGTCGCTTGGGTAGATCCATTTTACAGAGATTCGACTCTTCTTCTTAACGTTTTCTATGAAACACGTGTTTCATCCGACATCCAAACACCAAGGAAAAAAAGGATCTGAAGGAACGAGGAGACTATAAAGGGGACAGAGAGGGCATCCCCCATATACACCCTATTCCATAGGTAATTCGTCTCGAGTTATTTTTAACACCACCGATCTCAAGGGGGATTAGACAACAGCCAATCACATAGCGCAAATGTGTTCCGCGTGGATGACCCACGCTGAGAGCCACGCGTCCTTCACGAAATGACGCAGAACAAAATGGGGGAAGACACGGAGAGCGATTTTGCTATTCCTTTTGTCGACGAAAACGACTACAGCGAGATTTCTGCGAAAGCTGTGTCAGCGAAACCGAAATTAAAAAAGAATCGCCCTTCCTCTCTTGTATAGAGCTAACAGTAGAGCAGGGAAATCCTTAACACAATGAAAATTCTCTCAGGATCATTTATACTTTACAGTTTGAAGAGAGCAATTTCTGGTTTGACGTTTATTTTTTTCAGTCTTTATAGCGATTATACCTACCCACTTACTTTGTCAATTGTAGGCGAACCCTTCTAAAGCTGAATTTCAAGGGACCATATTCAAGCTCAGAAAGAGAAATAAAATTTCGTCGTTGCTTATTTACGTCCTCCAGAAAACGCGAAATTAGGCATTTTCACGTCGTAGTCATGCAAAAACGGGAAAGAAATGAACAAAAAAGTGTGTTGCACGTGCGAAGTCGTTGTTTTGCTAATTAAACCTATTGTTTTTTTGACGTTCTAGTTGTCGTCCGCGTCGTTGGATCTTAAACTCCCTAAATTGTACAAACGACCAGTTTCAACAGATCTAGACCGGCGAAATTTCTCATTTTATTAAAGCACTGAGGTTACGACAACTTCGAGTTAAACTGATTTCACGGGTTGTCAAAGAGTCCAGCGATTCCTTTTTCCCAGGTGAGCGCCGACTCATTTCGCTTCAATATTCAGGAATGCTCTCGATCTTTTTACGCTTTCATTGCCTCTCGCCCGACATGTTTTGCACGGCGTTTGGTCATGCGAAACCTCCACGAAACATCCACGCCTCGCGCGAGGTAACTTTATCCCGATTCTAAAAATAACTCGAGACGAATTACCTATGGAATAGGGTGTGTATGGGGGATGCCCTCTCTGTCCCCTTTATAGTCTCTTACGGTAAGTTAATACCTGTCTAAGAAAATGAATTTATAGGATGAAGCTTTTGACGTGTGATGGAGTCAACAAAAGCTTTTCATTTGCATACTTAATAAATAAGTTTTTTCTTGGTTTTCACGTTAGCGTTTCCCATTATTAGTAGCTTAGCTTCACCATTCAATTAATTAAAGTACCACCGCACACAAAAACCGCAAGTCTATACTAGCTCGCGCAATTGATATGAACAACAGACTGAAATATGAAGGGCTAACGACCGAAACATATATGTCTTCAACGGTGGCCGGTTAATTCACTCAATAATATTGTATCCTTCACAGTAATGTATCATCGTGAATTATTAATGGTTTGAGGTAAGACCCAAAATCACCCCCCCCCCACCAAAAAAAAAAAAATTCATTATCACAGGCATGTTTTATTCAGTTTATCTTAGAAGAATTTATCAAGTTCAATGAAAATGAAGTTTCTTACTTAGGCTGACGTTTTGAGCTTCTTTAAAGGCGACGTCATAATTTCTTCCGCCGAACCTCGGATCTTTTTCAAACAAACACACGTCATGTTCTTTCTTCCTTCGCATGAGTGTCTCTGCCATGTACAATCCTGAAATACCACCTCCAACCACAACCACATCACAGGACAATGGGCTCAAGGATGACTTTTCCTCTAGTGGAAAAAAAATAGAAAAGATTGAGTTTAAAGGATATAGAAAGGCTGTAAACGTTCGGTTTTCTTCCCGGAGGGAGCGGGAAAAGGGAGCGAGGCGGGTAGGGGGGGGTGGACAACCCCACGACTGAGTAATTTTACCGGGAGGTTCTGCCACGAGTTCAAAACGCCAAGCCTTTATAAACCATTTTTGGCAATTTCATATATCCTCTAATTAAAAATTGTACTGCCTTCACTTACCTGCTTAAGAACAGTGCATCTATTTTTTAAAGATCGGTAGCTTGAGTATCAGGCCTCTCTGGGGAAATATGGGAAAGATGGAAGCGAAAAAGGGAGAGAGCTGAAGGAGAGAAACGCCTGACCCAGATGCTTTTACTGGAGCCTTCCACCCCTACACAGCATGATTCGATACCATCCAATCAAAATCACTTCCGCTCATCGGGGTTGTCAGCTTCACGTGTCAAAAAGCTCGTCTAAAATAAATCTCACCTTACGGTCTGGCCGAACTCCGGTGCTTGTGTTGCTACGATTTCGCTTTTTTCTGAAACTCAATGAGGGGTTTTCGAATACTTGTAATGAAAACCCTGCCGTTTTTGAGGAATTATAACATGTTTTAGGAATGTTGCTAGTGTAAATCTCCTCCCCCCTAGACCCTTAGAAAGGCCTGATACTCAGGCTAAAACATCGGCAATGAAGTTAATGAACGATATTTCGGGAGAACAGCAATAAGGTGCTTATGGCGAGCCGTTTGTTTCAAAATTATTTGTTGACGTGATGTTTAACGAGGCGTCTAACATCAGTGTCCTGTGAAAATAAGCTGTGATAGAGTCTACTTATAATTGTTATTTTTCACCTTGATATCACTTTGCTACCGTGATGCAACATTTTCTACCTCGGTATCATTTTACTATCGTGATGTGACATTTTCTACCTTGATATCTTTTTACTTCCGTGATGGAACAGTTTGTACTTTCTTATGATTTTGCTGCCGTTATGGACATTTTCTACCTTGACTGGATATCATTTTACTGCGGTGATGTAACATTTTCTACCTTGATATCATTTCACTGCCGTGATGGTAGAAAATGTCACATCACGGTATTGAAATGAAATCAAGGTAGAAAAAGTCAAATCACGGCAGTAAAATGATATCAAGGTATAAAACGTTCCATCACGGTAGTGAGATGCGGTCAAGGTATAAAATGTTCCATCATGGTGGTAAAATGCAATCAAGGCGGAAAAAGTCACAAAAAAGGTGACTCGACCCAGTTTTTTTTTTTTTGGGGGGGGGGGGACCATCCTAGTTTGAAGCTCTCTGGTATCCCCCCCTTTACTTTTATCGCAAGTCTAACAAATAAAATGGATAACATATAGATCAATCTACAATATAACATAAAATTTTTGGCGATCGGAGTAAATGTCACGTGGTTATAATGCCACGCCCGTTTGAGGTCTGAGTCGAAAATCTGCTGTTGCCGGCATTTTTTCTTGAAAATCTCTCGGCTACACATAGTGCGCATTAGTGCCTTGCGCTGAACAGAGTTTCACCAAAATCGCAAAGACCCAATTTGAGAAATTCAGCGGTTTCCAAATTTAGGTCATAATTTATGCGAAAATGATAAGCAAACTTTACGCGGATTATATCTAATAAACTATGAGATTCATCTCTTTATTTGGGGCATCGTTGTAACAGATGGGTCCTTTGCAAGTCAGCAAAACGCTTTAGGGCCTTGTAAATGCGCGCGATTTCGAGCAAAGCAAACATATAGAAATTATAGTTTTCGCTATTTGTTGACGTTTGTCAGCGTTTAAGAGTCCTTCACACGAAAAAAGCATTTTCTTAAAAATTCGTAGTTTTTTTTCCTTCAAATTTTTTTCAGGCCACAATTGATTAACTAACTACCCGGACTCTGAATTTCATGGTCATTGAAAAACTGTGAAATTATCTTCTATAAGCCCAAACTTGAGTAAACATTGAAGATTTTTAGCGTTTTGGCTGAGTTTGTGCTTTGGGAGTTGTCTATTGTTTCCAGTCTGTCATTATACAGCATTCTTGTTTAGCACGCGTGCAATGACCGCGCTTGGCTGACTTCCGAATGTTCACCGAGATATTCCCGTCACGAGTTGGTTTAATTATTGGCTTGCATTTAACCTATGAAAAAATGATATGTTTTTAATAGTAAGTAGATTTAGTGTGTAGCACTTCTTGATTTTTTTGCAAAGGCACAAGAAGCACGAGAATTGATTAAAAATTGTGGATTAAACCTCTATGTATCACACGATGGCCTGTCTCACTGTACCAAAATTATCATATCTCGGTAAAGTTTGCTTATCGTTTTCGCATAAATTATGACCTAAATTTGGAAACCGCTGAATTTCTCGAATTGGGTCTTTGCGATTTTGGTGAAACTCTGTTCAGTGCAAGGCACTAATGCGCACTATGTGTAGCCGAGAGATTTTCACGAAAAAATGCCGGGCAACAGCAGATTTTCGACTCAAACCTCAAACGGGCGTGGCATTATAACCACGTGACATTTACTCCGATCGCCAAAAATTTTATGTTATATTGTAGATTGATCTATATGTTATCCGTTTTATGTGTTAGACTTACGATAAAAGTAAAGGTAGGGATACCAGAGAGCTACAAAGTAGGATGGTACCCCCCCCAAAAAACTCGGTCGCGTCACCTTAAATACGGTAGTAAAATGCAACCTCGTCCGCAGGGCGCTTTTCCCTGGCTTTGGAGGTGGGGCGCCCCACCTGCAAAGCCTGGGGACGAGGTTGAAAAAAATGATATCAAGGAAGAAAATGCTCCATCACGGAAGTAAAATGATATCAAGGTAGAAAAGGTCACATTACGGTAGTAAAATGATACGAAGGTTTAAAAATTCACATCACCGTAGTAAAATGATATCAAGGAAGAAAATGTTCTATCACGGAAGTAAAATGATATCAATAGAAAAGGCCACATCAAGCGCGGTAGTAAAATGATATCAAGGTGAAAAATAACAATGGTTGGTGGATTCTATCACAGGAACATTTCATAGGTCATGTTACGACACATTAAACATCACGATAACAAATAGTTTTGAAACAAACGGCGTGCTACTGCCGTGCCGAACTCAATTCATAAATTATAAATACATTAGAATACATTTAAAAGTTTGCTAAGCCGTTTCTTTATTTTTTTTTGTTTTGTTTTCGGCAACAGCCGTTCTATTCGACTGAATTGAATTCGACGTCTTAAACCAAGTCGTCAGTAGTGTCGTACTGTAGTCTAGCTACAGTCGAGCCACAGTCAAGCCAGCTTACAGTGAGCTTAGCATGGCAGTAGCACGACGTTTGAAACAGGCCTGAGACATGACAAGCAGTAAAACAGTTCAAACTCTCGGATTTACTGCTGAATAACTGCATGCTTTGATAAATATCACTAGCCTGCGAAAACGTCCGTTTCTCCTCGCTCTTCACCGCTGGGGACGTTTCGTCGTTCCTCCGCGCGAAACGTCCCCAGCGGCGAAGAGCGAGGAGAAACGGATGTTTTCGCGGGCTAAAATATCACATACGGGACATATAGTGACAAACTTTAAATCAACGTTAATAAATGCTAACTACTTCGAATCAGTGATTAACTCTAAACCTAACCAAGCCCTCTCTACACTTGTTTACTCACCAGTGGGATCTTTTTTGCCGTCGCAAACTTTTCCTTGCGTTCCGTTTTGCTGAGCTACCAGAGAGACAAACGCGAGGAGAATAAGCAACACTTTTGCTCGGCTCATGAAGTATCCAGGTGTTTCCTTAGGGCTGTTTACTGGGGGGTATTCCATTTCCATTTCCTTGGTGAGCATGTTGCAGGGTTTGACTTCAGATTTGACAGAGTCCACAAAGAATCCGTCACAGGCAAAACTAGAATTACGCGCTGTTCAGTTATCAATGACTTTGGGATCTTCACACGTAAAAAGGCAGATATTTTTAGAATTGTCCGAATTTGAGTGACAACTGACTTCAGAAAAAAATGCAGTGCATGGAAAAGGATCACGTAGGTGATTCAACCAGTGAAGCACCTCAAAAAGTTTTTTTCTAGAGTGATAAAGTTTGGATCAAACCTGTTGAAAGAAAGTTGTTTGGAGAATCAGACGACGCCAAGGCTCGATTTCCACAGCTCTCTCGATCCTCCCCGCCGAGAAGAGACGGCTGGACGATGCCGTGTCTGTCAGACCCAAATGTTTCCAAAAACGCCAGAAGTGTCTCAGATGGTTTTCTCTATGCTTTAGAAGCCTGGTTAGTTAATTTGGAGTCGCCCTAAAAGCTATTTATCTGTTCGGATGTCTTATGAGAACTTTGGTCGTCACGAAAGCCTTAGGTGGCTTTTTCGTCTCATCGGAAAGCGTTAGCTACCCGCATGGGTCCGGGCAGGAGCCCATAACCCGGGGAGCGAGCAACTTCCATGCGCTCGTGTCACGTCGTTTTCATAGACCAGTTTATTTTTAGAACGGTTTTGGCACGAATTTTGAATATCCTTTAAATTCCTCAAACCAGTCAGCAAACCCTACAGACCTTAAAATGATATTTTTTGCCTTTTAATAACATGAAGTTTTCCTTTTTGATATCTTATATTTCCAATGCTCTCACAGACATGGCGGAGATTCTATTTTCGAGGGAGAAAGTGCCCTAAAATGTGTCTAAATATAAACTGGTCTGTAAAAACGTCGTGACATAGGCCTAGTATGGGAGTTGCTCACTCCGGGTTATGGGCCCCTGGTCCGGGCGAAAGTTCGAGGACATTAAGTAGCCTTGTTTTCATAGAAAATTATAGGGGACGTTTTGTCTTTATACCGAAAGTTTTAGGAGACATTTTTTTTTTAACAATAATCGCACTATCTTGATCTTAAAATGTGAAAACACAACTTCCCAAAATCATAGTTAAGCTACTAGAAATCCTCCGAATATTTTAGAAGAATGGAACGGTTATCCAGGAATTTTTGGCCTTTCTCAAGCTTTAGAAATTTCTGGGCAATATTTGCTCCCTCGAACAGTTGTTTTACAGCAGTATAGTCGCTGAGTGCCCCTGGTCTGTGACGTCCCCTGGTCTGTGACGTAAAGTCAAAATTTGTTATGCTGGAAATGGGAAATGTCATCAAATACGGAATACATGTTGTGTTTTGCCTCTTTGTCTCTTTAATATTCGCCAAAAAAGTGAGCAGAAACATGTACTGATTAACCCTCGGACGTACAAGGGGGGAGGGGGGTGGATGCCACTCCCCCATGAGGTTTTTCTGAGTTTTTTCCTAGAGGATAAAACATCAGCACCTCAAGTTTTCAGTACCTGTTCGTTCATCCCTCGCGCAGATTTTAAGACGAGTTTAGTGATGCTCAGTTGCCATGGTTGAGAGATATGACGTCATAAGTAGCAGGTTGAGGTAACCGAGGGATAAGGTAGGATTGGACTTGAAAGCCGCCCCAGTTTACCTGAGCCGTCAACCATCGCTCCAGACTGGAAAATAATTGATACTTCCAGATCCGGTTTCTTGAATGAAAAATGGAGAGATGACTTTGCATTCCGGATTGTCAACTTTCCTCATATGGACAGCAACATTCTCGCCAATCCAGCTTACGGTGTTTACATATCTCAACTGGTGAGATATGCTAGAATTTGTCTTGTCCGCCCAGATTTTCGGATCATTTGACACCGCTTATGAATTTGTTTTAGATACCCTAAAGAGCATCTGGGCCAAATTTGGTGCTTTCTTTCAGTCTCTAACGATATTTCCTTCAAAACAAAGCACTTGAAGGCACGTGAAAATTCCTGCCCATCCGCACGACTTCGCAGCTCCTCTGCCAAAATTTTTACCATATATGGGCTATATAGGTATGTGCCGCTGTGAGGGGTATAGTTTTCAAACAGACATACAGTCTAACCTCTCCTTACGGACACCTCCCTATTACGGACAGTTCGTTTGGTCCCAGAAATGCCAAAAATCATACATTTCTTACCTCAGTCTATAATACGGACACTATGAAGCGGACACTTGGTTCTGAGGTTTGACTACATTAAATATTGCAAACAGAATGCTGCAATGCTGATCGTAGTACGTGAAAATTAACTTTGCAAGATATCAACACGACTCCGAAAGAACTCAAAACAGAGCGGGATTATAGCCATAGACAACTGGTTCGCTATTATTGTAGCTCACCAGTATCTAAGACGTAACAAACAGAGAGAGGAGCTCTGCTGGAAAATAACTGGCCTGAGTATCAGGCGTTTCTGGGGGAAAAGGGGAAAGATAGAAGCGAAAAAGGGAGTGAGCCCCTTCCTTTCTCTACTCCCCCGCCCCATTCCCTCTCCCCCATCTAAAATCTGCTCTCCCCTAGCCCCTTAGGATGGCCTAATACTCAGGCTAGAAAATAACCCGCACACTCTGATTTGCGCCCTAACCTAGAACTCCCAACACCCACAGAATCACGCCATATCATGTGTATCCTGGAGGCCAAGAGTCCAAGTGTCAAGTTGATGTCTCGCAAACAAAATTATAAACTGATTGGCCAAAACCAACCTCAAAAACAAAGACAAGACCATGCAAAAATTACAGCATATCGAATCAATAAGATAGATTTACGGCACCAAAATACATAAAGTACGAACAATAACCCCCCCTGGGAGGGGGGTCTCCCTTATATAAGCTATATAGGTATGTGCCGCGCCATCGGGAAGGTTTTTGCGCCGTTTTGGTCAGCTAAGTGATAGAACAATGCTCATGGCAATTTGGATGTCAAAGGTTTGATTCCTGCTGAAGGCTTTTCCCAAGTGAACGTTTTTTTTTTTCGCTGGGGCGGTTTCGGGTTCAGGGGAAACCGTCCTCCCGCCACCCTAAATACAACCATCAGACCAGGACAATATTTTTTTTGTATACAAAATTTAATGAAAAAGTGCTAAGAAAGTTAAATTGAAGGATTGCATACTCAACTGCTTACTTAAAAGTTTCTAGAAAATAAGGTAAATAACTATAAGAAATGATTAGCTGAGAAGAGAATAAACAGTTAGTCTCAAACATAACCACTCCACGTGGAGACGTATGACATTTCAGACTATTAACCAGGGCCCAGTTGTTCGAACTCCGGTTACCGCTAACCCGGGGTTGAATTTTAACCCGCGTTTCTTTTTCTGTTTATTAAAAGCACTCTCTAGGATAACTTTCTTTATTCTTTTTTGGGTATCCAATCATGGAATTGTACCCAAAGAGAATTACATTGAAATTGCTTTTTAAGCTCTCATATCCAAGTTCAAATTTCGCACTAACCCTGGGTTACCTTAACCGAGCTTCGAACAACCCAGCCCAGGCTATTAACAGGGAGCAAAGTTTTGACCCTTCATCTCAAAAGTATCCTGAATCCAGCCCAACGCTCTATGATGAATCTTTCAATTAAGGTTCTGGCTTATCTATTCCCCATCCTTCCTTTAGTGCTTTGTATGCTGTTTGGAGGGCTCCTTCATTCCATCCCACGATCACCGCAAACGCTTCACCGACGATGTATATCTCCTCTCCTGGAAAAGGGCGCTTGGCCCATTCCTCTGTATCTTGACGGCTGACGTTAGATCCTGCCTTTGTGTAATGCCTAAAACATTACGTAAATGCTCGAATCAGCGCCACTCTTTAGACAAGCGCCCCCACCCTTAACACCCGCCCCTTACAGAATCATAAGGTATGCAGTGCGCAGGTTTTAAATGAATACAGCATAACATGTAAAATCACCAGCGAATTTGAGAATTTTTAGCCGGGGAGGTACGCCCTCATACAACCCATGTAGGTATGTGCCGCCCTATAGGTTACGTTTTTTGCACCGTTTTTGTCTGAAAACTGGTATAGACTTTTTCCATTTCGGTCTGGAATCGGGTATGGTTTTCGAGGGAACTACGGAAGTGTATGATCGTATTTATAGTAGCTTCAATTCCAAATGAGTGAGAAAGAAAGAGAAATATGCGAATTCGAAATGAATTTTAAGAAATCTTTTATGTTGCTCTCTAATCTAAGTAATGACGACATGATTTCTTAGAGGCCAGGTCTGAAAACTGGTGCGAAAAATGACATTTTTTCGCCTGAAATAGGGTCAGGATTTGGAGAACCGGGCGGCATACGCCCACGAAAAATTCCCAGGAGTAACCCTCGAGTTTTTTTCCCCAGAAAAAGAGGCCATTTTCTAAGGGAAAAGTTCTTGGGACCAGGCTGGAGTCTTAAGGCTACAAATTTCTTTAGGGCGTGTCACAGCGTGAGAGACTGATTCATCCCATTTTTAAACTCCTTTTCTTTCAAGCATTAATGCAGGCGAAGAGAGTTTAACTTCTTAAATAAATTTGCAAATGACAACCAAGCAGTCTTTGATGTATCGCGTGCGGTCTAGGGGCACGCGCATTGCACATTAAACGGTTTTGAAAATTAGTCAGTTTTGAGCACAGAACCGGTCGGTGGCCTGGGTAGCCTGCGGGATTGTTATTTAGCATGTGCAAAGTTTTTGGCAGAGCAAAGCCGTGAGGAGAAGGGGGAGGTCGCTTCTCGCGGCAAAGTCCGTGCGAATGGCAGCCTCGCCGCCAAAACCCTCACACGTGCAAAAAAAAATTTCGCCAGCCACGCAGGCCACGCGTCGGTGGTTGGCGGGGGCCTTCTTCTTTCCTCAGGCTCCTTCTTCTGTTGTTGTGAGAGATCTCTAGCAGGGAATCGTTCTTTGATTCCAGTCTGTTTGACCCATAGTTTTTTACGGGCTTGTTGCTGTGAATCTAGTTTTTTTCATAATCGATTTAATTTAATACTTGCCAGCACGCTTCCCAGTACTTGAATTTGACGTCCAGTGGTTCCGGAACAACCATTCCTGGAAACACCGCCTGCACAGCTTTATTCAATTCCGATAGGAACGTGGCTCTAGGTAATTTGGAAAGCTGGCCCCATTTCACTGCGCAGTCGAAATAATTGTAGCTTAGTTGAATGATTCCTTCACCTTGAGGTCCTCGGCTAAAATGCAAAGAAAAACGAACTTGGCAATTCGAAATTTGCGGCATTAGTAACAGATAGTGCTAATATAGAATGAAGATGACGTGAGCCTCGGTCATATCTTTATTTGCCGGGTTCACATAATCTTTATTCTGTCTGTGTTTTATTCCTTTCGCGGGTTAAGAAGAACTCAACAAACTGGCCAACTTCGTCCGCATGGCTTTTCCCTTAGAAAATTGAGGGACGGAAAGCCTTGGGGATCGACGAGGTCGCAAATTGGCCTGCTGCCAATGTATGGGTCTTCCTTTCTCAGTTGGTGGAGTAGTTCAGCGCTAACACAGAGGCCATATGCTTGAATCTCTTTGAAAATCCCTTATTGTTGTTGTTGTTGTTTTTTGGCAAGGGGGGTGGAGCTTAATTTGCAATTGCTTAAATCACTATGGCAACCGCAACGATCATATCTTCATTTAAATGATAGTGCTTTATCAGCCAGGTAGAGCTTGGCAATAGGCTTAGCCACAAATTGCTCGGCAACTTTTCGGCAATTTTTCATTTTTTCAGTAGCATTTTTTAAATTATTTTTTACTTTTTTCGCGACATTTACTACCTTTGGAAAGAAAAGTCAGCTAATTTCAAGCCAGCACCGCGCTCCCACTTTGGTTTAAATTCCAACATCTCTGCCCTCAAATAAGGCAAATCCCGCTGGATCCCAAAAAAACCTATCGGGAACCCTCCAATTGGACACAAAGTTGACCTGGCCAGTCTCAAAGCATCAGCTAAATGGCCAATATACCTCCAGTCAGTTTTAATCTTATGCAAGAGTAAGCTTCATGAAAACCCTGAGATGAGCCCTGCGCCTTGATAAAAGTAAGTTTCTCCTTACCCAGAGATCCCAATGAAACTAAAAAATATTTTGCTCTGGCTCCGATCATAAAAGGTTACTTTGTCCCCGGTAAAATTACATAGGGGGATGATTTTCGTTCAGCTTACCTGTAAGGCATCATATTCACCAAACAAGTAGCAGTTGATACGTATCTTTTCCAGGTCTTCAACGACATGTTATGGACCGATGTTGCGTTTTCCCACCAAGGATACTTGTAAATCGCCACTGCTTTGAAGCATTTTTGACCAATGATATGTGTGAAATAAGCATGATTTTTTATTTCAAAGGCGATATCACCGTTTATCTCTTTTAATGGCAAAAATGGGATAGCAACGATAACCTTTTTAGCCGATACAAGGTAATGCTCAGTACGGAGTACAAACGTGTTTCGTTCTCCGTCTCTGTCGATTGAGCTCACAGCTTCCTTTGCGTACATTCTAACCCCAAAACGCTTCACAGATTTCGCTAAAGCATCCACAATTTCGGATAATCCACCTCTTGGTCTAACGTATTCAGATGTAAACTTCATTCCGTTATTACTCTCGTATCTAGTCATCGTGCTTCTCGCTATATTATAATTCATTTTTATTCCATAAATCAGATTTAAAAAGGCACATCCTTCACTTCCAACTCGCTGGCAAAGGAAACCCTGGTAAGACGGATACTCTAAAGCTTTCTCTTTGGACATGTTCCTCCAAGCGAACGCAAACATCTGAGAAGGAGTCATGTTAGCAAAGATAGTGGACATGAGAGTGGGAAAGGCTTTTTCCTTGAAGGACTGATGGTTGTCGGCATAAATTCCTCTGCCTTCTAAATAATCAATGCTCAACGGAGGCATCTTAAACATCGAGATATTGAGCCTTTCCGCTAAGTTTCTGAAAAAGAAAAAAACATAAAAGGTTCTTCTTAATAATTTAGCTTGAGTCTCAAGGTTAGAAAGTTGATTTTTGGCATAAAGTAAAAGGTATAAAATTAAGAACTGCAGCAATTTTTGAAAACTTACAACATTTTCTTGTGAGCTGTGTTTACTCTCCAAGCTCCCATACCTAATAAAGGAATACATACTGAAGAATGAACGATCGCTTGGGTGTGGGTCCATTTTACAGTTGCAGAGATCCGATTCTTCTTAATAACATTTTCTGTGAAACACGTGTTTCATCCGACATCCAAACACTAAGGAAAAAAAGGACCTGAAGGAACGAGGCGTTCACCAATAGTTGGATATCGGATCAAACTTTACTTTTGAACAGTGCTATGGAACATTACTCTGTACAATTTTAATTTGGTTTTAATCAACCAAAACTTTGTTCTTTTGTGTCTGATGTTATTAGTGAAGGGTTTGAGAAAGCGTTATGCTGGATATATCTTCGAAATAAATAGTTTATTTCATCGTTCCCCTGTTCTCTTTAGTTTCTAAAAAATGCATCCACGAGTTTCCCTTAGTTTTTACCTTGATTTGACTTTTGTGTGGTGCAATCTGTTGAACACATTACGAACTGTGCTGGCTTCGCCAGTAAACGTTTCAGATAGAGTTATTAACTAACTAAGAAATTTAAATTTATAGGATGTAGCTTTTGACGTGTGACGGAGTCAACAAAAGCTTTTCATTTGAATAGTTAATAAATAAGTTTTTTCTTTGTTTTAATGTTAGCGTAACTTCACCATTCAATTAATGATTAAACTGAGTAACACCGCACACACAAACCGCAAGCCGTATACATGTACTCGCAAGTACAGCAAGTATATACTCGCTCGCGCGATTGATATGAACAACACACTGAAACATGAAGGGCTGGCGATCGAAACATATATGTCTGATCAGCGGTGACCAGTTAATTCACTCAATAACACTGTATCCTTCACAGTAATGACTCCTTTCGTTGTATGATAAGACTAACCCCCTCCCCTCCCCAATAGTTAATGATCATATGTTTTATTCAAGTAATCTTCTAAGAATTTATCAAGTTCAAGAAAAAATGAAGTTCCTTACTTAGGCTGACGTTTTGAGCCTGTTTAAAGGCGACGTCATAATTTCTTCCTCCGAACCTTGGATCTTTTTCAAACAAACACACGTCATGTTCTTTCTTCCTTCGCATGAGTGTCTCTGCCATGTATAATCCTGAAATACCACCTCCAACCACAACTACATCACAGGATAATGGGCTCAAGGATGACTTTTCCTCTAGTGGAAGAAAAATAAAAAAAGATTGAGTTTAAAGGAATCTGTGATTGGATATAGAAAGGTTGTAAACGTTCGGTTTTCTTCCAGGAGGGGTGGGGAAAAGGGAGCGGTGGGGGGGTAGTAACTCAACAAAGTATTCAGTTTTCGCCGGGAGGCTCTGCCCCGAGTTTCAAACCCTAAGCCTTTATAAACCATTTTTGACGAAAAAGGCACCTCTTTCATATACCTTCCAATTAAAAATTGTACCGTTTTCACTTACTTGCTTCAGAACAGTGCATACATTTTTTAATGTGAACAATATTCGGTAGAACAGCAATCAAAGCCGACCTCTAAGCAAAAAAATTATCAATTTTATTTCTTTCGTTTATTATTCAAATAATGACAGATTTCCTTATTCTGGATTTCATATTACCTCAACTTAAAATCCATATTCTTTAGTTAATTTACCTGAAGCCTGAATAAGGTATCTTATTTTATAGGCTGAGCCTATTCCTATAGTCTGGGGAGGACCCCCTCACTCTCGCCCCGGGCATATTTTCTTTTCTAACTTGAATATAGTGGACTTTGCTCGATCGGCAGTCGCTCATTAGCTAAGTTTTGTCAAGTGTTCGGTATGAAACTCAACGTTAATGAAGCGTAAATTCACTTTTTTTCAAAACGACAACTGCCAAGACTGATCAACAGCATTAAAAAACTTCGGTTGCCGTATTTCGACTCAGTAGTGGCCATGGCAATTCGGCCTCCAGGAGACAAATCACAGTTTTTTGACATGCAAATAATATGCCCCTCAAGCGTTATAATTGGGCGTCGCGCGTAAGTGGTGGACTCGAGCCCCACTTTCAAAATGTGGGTTGTTTTTACCACTAAATGTAGGAATCTGTAGTGCTTGATACGTAGGCAGTTGCTTGTCAATTATTCAGAAGTGATTGTATTAACAACAATGTAAGCAAACGATCATGTGGTGAGTTTAAGTGGAATCTTTTATTAATTGTATTATCTTGATTTCGACATCTCTGGCAGAGAAATGTGCTGCTTAAGCCGTAGGCTTCAAAAGAATGTTCTTATTTAAATCTGTTGTTGGTAGAACTAATTGATCCCTCCGTCCTTGTCGTAGAAGATTCTCTATTCCGTTAAAGAAATTCGTTGGAATCATGTTCGAGTTATTGAAGCTGTAGCAGATAGCTTATCATGTCGAGGTGAAAAGTACTCTAGCCTCCTATGAACACCTGTTCAAGATCGCGACGCTGCGCTCCGTTAAAATGAAACCGCTCGGAAGTCACCTCTCTTGTGTGTCCGTTAAAGACCTTACCGATATGATTGGTACAGGCACAAGATCAAAAGATATCCGGTATAGCATATATAGACATAACCTCATTACGTAACATACGGCAGAATGAATATGACGTCTTCATGGCCTTTGTATGAGAATTTTAGCCCGGTAAACCCGGCAAAATCACTATATTTAATGCTTCTGTCAGTGTTCACCCTTATTACTATGTCAGTGTTTAACCCCGACCTGACTCACGGCATACAGTGCCAGTATATAAGCTGACTCATGACTTATTGGCTCATTTGGCCCATGACTCATTGACTTCGGCTTCACATTTTCACTTACCAATGGGATCATCTTTGCCTTCGCAAACCTTTCCCTGCGTTCCCTTCTGCTGAGCTAACATCACTGCTAGTACAATTAAGACGATCACCAGCGAGACAAACGCGAGCAGAATAAGCAACGTTTTCGCTCGGCTCATGAAATATCCAGGCGTTTCCTTGAGGCTGTATACTGGGTGGTATTCCATTTCCTTGGTGAGCATGTTGCAGGGTTGGACCTCGGATTTAACAGAGTCCACAAAGAATCCGTCACCGGCAAAACTAGAATTACGTGTGTTCAGTTATTAATGACCTCGTGATAAGTGGTCACGGGTGAACAAGCGGTCAGAAAGACGCACACTTGTTGTTATTTATTTTCTTTTAATGCGCCTTTCCATTGTTTTGAACAGGTTATTATTTTTAAGTCCAAAGATAGTAGTGCAGTCGTGCAGTAAAAAGTGACGCGAAAAATGCGTGGGGGCTGGGGAGAGAAAGGGCAACAGCAGCAGCGGCAGTAGCACAGTTTTGTGACTGATCGATCTGGAGACCAGCCTCTTTCGGCAAGTTGTTTGTGATGTCATTTGTAGAAATCTCGAGCAGGCAGTGAGGAAAATGGGGAGGGAGAAGGTCGCTAGTTTTTCACCGCACTTCTCCCAGGAAGCTTTCCACGGGCTATCCTCTCCTGAAAAATGTTCGGTCTTCGGCTTTAGCCAAAACCCGTAAAAAGGACAAAGAATCGTATCACGCCCTACAAAAGAAACATTAAACATTGATCAAAGGTCATCCAGACCCTGAGATAAGCGGGGGAGGGGGCGGTCACAATAAATGTTTTTCGGCCCTTCGGGCCTCAGTTTGGTCTAAAAATAAGCGGGATGGGGGGGGGGGTCCTCCTAGATCCGCCACTGGCCTGTCAACAATATCTACAATCATTTAAGGCTTTGTTGCATGACTTTGTTCCGGGGTCATTCAAGGGATGTTGTAAGTATATTGAGTGATGTTTAGTAGGACTGAGTTTCGTTCCAAAAACTCCGAACGTCCCAGAACGTATTAAGGCGCAAAACACTGCGGAACATGTAATCTCTTAGAAATATGTAATGTTTACTTGAAACGGCCAATGAATAGCTGAAAGGGCAAGCAAAACCGACTCGCGCGCGTGGCCTGATACGGAAGTGGAAATAATCCACGCGAGAACTTGAGCAAGATGGCGGTGAGTGAGGAGGTAGCTGAAAATGTGTCCGCATTGGACGCTAAAACCGTGGACGAAGGAACAGTTGTAGAGCTGTTAAGAAAAAGATATAACCGTCATGAGGTTTATTTAAGTGGATTTAATTTGCTTAGCCTCCTGATTGGTGGAAATCGACAATAGCAAGTCCATGCGTCCAGAATTGCGTCCAGCCGTCTGTTCGGGGGAGGAGCGCGGGCTCACTTCCCGAACAGCGGTTGGTAATCGAGCCTAGACGACGCCAAAAGATCACGCAGTTAGCCTTCGAAATTATTCTTGCGCGAGAGTTTTGGCGGCTTCGCCCGTCATTCTGGCTGAGGCGAGCGTCGAATAGCGCAGTGGCTCAGGATACGTTTTGGCGAATTCGTTACAGAGTGGAAGAAATTAAAGCGCCAAATTCGGCACAAAGTTTCTATTGGGTGCAAGGAAGGGGTGCCACGTGAACAAAAATCCGGGTGGGGGCGTGAGATGTGATTTAATTTACCCTTACTACATACATCTGATACATCAGCATGAAAGAGAAGCTGAAAGTCAAGGCGAAGCTTTTTGTGCTTTATATCGCGATTGAAAATAAAAAATATACAGAGAAAGAGATCGTCCGATTGTCTTTATTACTCATCACGCTATTTTCGATGTTGAAAACTCCATCACTTTGACCATGGTGGGATATTCCATGCCATTTTGAATATGTACCATAATTTGTCAAAAAATAATAAAAAACAAAGTTTGAAAGAATCAACCAGAGAGAAGAAAGGCGCAGGTCAGAGACGAAAGGTGACAGATGAAACCAATACAAGCCTCCAACAAAGTGGAAAATGTTTCTGCAAGATACTACCAACAGCGAAGACCTATTTTCTCTTTTGACTGAAAAAGTAAAGATTTTTAGTTTCCAGAAAATAAGGAGGTGAATATCAGTTTAGAAGAAGTTGTTTTCTCAAGCAGCGGGTCCGTGCAAAGATGCGACCACGAGGAAGCCGACACAAGAATTGCTGTGTATGTTCTGCACGCTCTTAATAAAAGACACAATCAGTTTCTTACGCAGAAACAGTGGACACAGACATTGTAAGTTGTAATAATGATTGGGCTCTTCAACGAATTGTTATCTTTACATCCCTCTGCAAATGTCTGGATAACTCATTGTTTGGCTATGGGAAAGCACTTCCAGCTTACCGTGTTAATGCCATCTGTGCATCTCTTGGTCCTGATACATCTCGAGCTATGCCCCTGTTGCATTCCCTTACTGGTTGTGACACCACCTCTTACTTCATGGGCAGGGGAAAGAAATCCGCTTAGGAAGCTTGAAATTCGTATCGTGAGGTTACAGATGCGTTCCTTTATCTTGCTGATAACCAACTATTACCACTGGGACACGGCGGACCCCAACTTCAAGCTGCCTGAGCGTTTTCAACATGGTTCTCTATGACAAGGCAAGCAATGAAACATCCGTAAATGAAGCAAGAACCCTGGAGAATATACCACTCACACAGGTAACTGTAATAATCCCATATTTTTAGTTTATTCAACGAAAAAAATAACGGATATGAAAATCTCAGCCCCCTCCCAATGACATTTTACATTTTGCATCTTACTTTTATGATTCCATTTATATTTCACATCCGGGCAGTACCAGTAAAGTTGTTTGTGGGCATTGTAGGAGTCCTGGCTACGACACATTTGAGATCAATCTGTCAAAGTAGTATCTGGTACACAAGCCTGCAGTCGGTTCAAATGGTTCCTTTGCCCGATGGATGGGGCCAGTTTGAGATCAATAACAAGAGAAAACCTCTCTGGACCTCGCTTCTAGCAGCATCAAAAGCCTGTCTCGAGCTTCTAAAATTAATGTCGCTGCAAACAAGGGTGTTCTGGCAGATGTGAATGCGCGAAAGCCAATCTACCTTGTACAAGTTTAATATGTCAAGTTCTGGAGAATGCTTCAACTCTTAAGATATATAAACATGTTCTTTAATTACAACACTTTGAAATGTATATAGACACAACCTTTACAGATTTATGGAAAGATTTTTTGCATAGACTAAACTGAACTGTCAAGGTTATGAATTGCTATTTGAATGCCATATTTCTGGTACAATTTAGAGGTGGTGAATACTCAAGTAGATTAAGGCCTGGGTCTAAGACATTTATGGTTTTTATGTACAGTTTCCAAAAACTATGGTTAAAAACATCAACGAGGAACGATATACAGTAAAGTAAAATAAACTTTAAAAAATTTGAAAAAATAAATCTAAATTATTTGGTCACGTGATTTACCACGCCCTCCATTGTTCGAAAATTGCAACCAACGATTCCCACCACTTGCCAAACGAGTAGCTTCATTTTCTCTGTATCAAAACATTGTACCTACAAAGTGTCTCCGAATCAACTCGGAATGGCTCGAAACATTACAATTGGCAGGTGCAATTGGTGTTCATTGACTAGTGCCAGTCCTCCTGTAGCTAAAATTATCGACAGGAGAAAGACGTTTATTGACCTCGCCTCATTCCGATTGTTTTAACGAGAAGACTGTTAGTAGCCACTTTTTGGACCTACTAAAGGAAAACGGTTTGCTCTCTATCTGGAGGGAATTCCGACTGGAAGGATTTCTCGATAAAACAGGGCGTGGTTGGTCACGTGATGCAGTTATAAACAATTTCTAAAATGAAACTGAACGATTTCTTGGTCATGATTGGCTTTAAATTATTAGTCATAGGATATCTTGAAAATACTTTACGTTATACCACCCCCTTTAAAAATTCTGAAAAATCTGTTAAGACCCAATCCGAATCCGAATTCCGGCAAAAATATTTTCATATTTTTTCTCCTCCGGAAAACAAAAGTGAACTCAGAATTATTATATATCTTTCACACATTGAGTCCATTAAATTCGCTTGTAATATTAATACATGGCACTAACTGTAGGTGCCTCAAGTCTTCAGTGATTTATGAACGTTTTCCTTTATCCTCCTTCTATTAAAAAGTGATATTAATGAGTGAAAAAACGTGAATCATGTCGTAAACTCGGTTATTGCTTTGGAAACTAACTAGACCACGCCATGGCAACATAAACGAATGCTAGTCAATAAAAAGTAAGTTGAAATGTCAATTTCAAGCTTACAAAAGGTGCTGCAAATGAAATGCTTGTCTTACCCCCCCCCCCGGATTTTTGGATCATTTGACACCCCTTATAAATTTGTTTTACATACCCTAAAGAGCATCTGTGCCAAATTTGGTGCTTTCTCTCAGTCTCTAACGATATTTTCTTCAAACCAAAGCACTTGAAGGCACGTGAAAATTCCTACCCATCCGCACGACTTCGCAGCTCCTCTGCCAAAATTTTTGCTTTCACTGACGATCCCGCCGGCAACACAGGCTGTTAAGAAGTGCGTTAAAATCGATCCAACCTCATTCCCAGGGTTCTCTCCCTTGTGGCGAAGCAAAAGCGATAACCCCGCAAACGAGGTTGAATCCACTATGAATCTATCCCGGGGGAGGGGAGGGGGGGAGGGGGTATTGCCATATATGGGCTATATAGGTATGTGCCGCTGTGAGGGGTATGGTTTTCAAACAGACATACAGTCTAACCTCTCCTTACGGACACCTCTATTACACTGACATCTCTCTATTACGGACAGTTCTTTTGGTCCCACTGAAATTTTTGCCCAAAATCATACATTTCTTACTTCAGTCTATAATACGGACACCTCTATGAAGCGGACACTTGGGTCTGAGGTTTGACTACATTAAATATTTCAAACAGAATACTGCAATGCTGATTGTACTACGTGAAAATGAACTTTGCAAGATATCAACACGACTCCGAAAGAACTCAAAACAGAGCGGGATTAGAGCCATAGACAGCTGGTTCGATATTATTGTAGCTCACCAGTATCTAAGACGTAACAAACAGAGAGAGGAGCTCCGCTGGAAAATAACTAGTCTGAGTATCAGGCGTTTCTGGGGGAAAAGGGGAAAGATAGAAGCGAAAAAGGGAGAGAGCCCCTTCCTTTCTCTACTCCCCGGCCCCATCCACCCTCCCCCATCTAAAATCTGCTCTCCCCTAGCCCCTTAGGATGGCCTAATACTCAGGCTAGAAAATAACCCGCACACTCTTATTTAAGCCCTAACCTAGAACTCCCAACACCCACAGAATCAAGCCATATCATGTGTATCCTGTAGGCCAAGAGTCCAAGTGTCAAGTTGATGTCTCGCAAACAAAATTATAAATGATTGGCCAAAACCAACCTCAAAAACAAAGACAAAACCATGCAAAAATTACAGCATATCGAATCAATAAGATAGATCTACGGCACCAAAATACATAAAGTACAAACAGTAACCCCCCCCCCTTCCTGGGAGGGGGTTCTCCCTTATATAAGCTATATAGATATGTGCCGCGCCATAGGGATTTTTTTTGGGCCGTTTTGGTCAGCTAAGTGATAAAGCAATGCTTATGGCAATTTGGATGTCAAAGGTTTGATTCCTGCTGAAAACTTTTCCCAAGTGAAAGTTTTTTTTTGTTTTCGCTGGGGCGGTTCCGGGTTCAGGGGAAACCGTCCTCCCGCCACCCTAAATACAATCATCAGACCAGGACATTATTTTTTTTTTGTATACAAAATTTAATGAAAAAGTGCTAAGAAAGTTAAATTCAGTTAAATTGAAGGATTGCATACTGAACTGCTTAGTTAAAAATTTCTAGAAATAAGGTAAATAACTATAAGAAATTATTAGCTGCGAATGGATTAGTTAGTGTTAAACATCACGAATCCACGTGGAGACGTATCACATTTCCGGACTATTAACCAGGGCCCAGTTGTTCTAACCTGCAAAAACATCCGTTTCTCCTCGATCTTTGCCGATGGGGACGTTCGCGCGGAGGAACCTCTGCGACTCAGCGACAGAAATTCCATACTGATGACGTAAAATCTGTCCGTAATCCGATCAGAAGCGCTGATTGGTCGACGGAGTAGTTACTTTGTTTTAGCTATTGTTTACGAATCACAGACAAAAGACAGGCCACAAAGGTCAAAGCCAAACGCGAAGAATCTCTTACAAAACAGTCAATCTTTGTGGAACATAGTCTTCTCTAGGAGAAGCATTTGAGTTTTGATGGAGCTCGTTGGCAGATAAACACAACACTACTTCACCGAAATCGACCAGAAGACCCTTAAAATCGGTTGGAAGCCCATGAGCTACCGGATTTATTATGTAAACACTGATTTGCGTCATCAGTATGGAATTTCTGTCGCTGAGTCGCAGACGTTCCTCAGAAACGGATGTTTTCGGAGGCTTCAGTTGTTCGAACTCCGGTTAGCGCTAACCCGGGGTTAAATTTTAACCCGCGTTTCTTTTTCTATTTATCAAAAGCGCTCCTGGGATAACTTTCTTTATTCTTTTTAGGGTATCCAATCATGAAATTGTACGCAAAGAGAATTACACTGAAATTGCTTTGTAAGCTCTCATATCCGAGTTCAAATTTCGCACTAACCCTGGATTACCTCAACTGAGCTTCGAACAACCCATCCCAGGCTATTAACAGTGAGCAAAGTTTTGATCCTTCATCTAAAAAGTATCCTGAATCCTGCCCTATGCTCTATGATGAATCTTTCAATTAAGGTTCTGGTTCTTCTATTCCCCATCCTTCCTTTAGTGCTTTGTATGCTGTTTGGAGGGCTCCTTCATTCCATCCCACGATCACCGCAAACGCTTCACCGACGATGTATATCTCCTCTCCTGGAAAAGGGCGCTTGGCCCATTCCTCTGTATCTTGACGGCTGACGTTAGATCCTGCCTTTGTGAAATGCCTAAAACATTACGTAAATGCTCGAATCAGCGCCACTCTTTAGACAAGCGCCCGTACCCTTAACGCCCGCCCCTTACAGAATCATAAGGTATGCAGTGCGCAGGTTTTAAATGAATACAGCATAACATGTAAAATCACTAGAGAATTTGAGAATTTTTAGCCGGGGAGGTACGCCCTCATACAACCCATGTAGGTATATGCTGCCCTATAGGTTACGTTTTTTGCACCGTTTTTGTCTGAAAACTGGTATAGACTTTTTCCATTTCGGTCTGGAATCGGGTATGCCGTTTTCGAGGGAACTACGGAAGTGTATGATCGTATTTATAGTAGCTTCAATTCCAAATAAGTAAGAAAGAAAGAGAAATATGCGAATTCGAAATGAATTTTAAGAAATCTTTTATGTTGTTCTCTAATCTAAGTAATGACGACATGATTTCTTAGAGGCCAGGTCTGAAAACGGGTGCGAAAAATGACATTTTCTCGTCTGAAATAGGGTCAGGATTTGGAGAACAGGGTGGCATACGCCCACGGAGAATTCCAGGAGTACCCCCCCGGGTTTTTTCCCTAGAAAATGGGAAAGGCCACCTTCTAAGGGAAAAGTTCTGGGATCCAGGCTGGAGTCTTAAGGCTACAAATTTCTTTAGGACGTGTCACAGCGTGAGAGACTGATTCATCCCATTTTTAAACTCCTTTTCTTTCAAGAATTAATGCAGACGAAGAGAGTCGTGTTAAAAAAATTTGCAAGTGAGCACCAAGCAGTCTTTGATGTATCGCGTGCGGTCTAAAGGCACGCGCATTCCATATTGAACGAAACTGGTTTTGAAAAGTTGTAAGTTTTGAGCACAGATGTGGTCGGTGGCTACATAAAAGAACGCGCGGTGGCCTGGGTACCCGGCAGGAGTGTTATTTAGCATGAGCAAAGTTTTTGGCAGAGGAACTGCAAAGCCGTACGGAGAATGGGGAGGTCGCTTCTCGCAGCAAAGTCCCCGACAATGGCCAAAACTCTCACACGCGCAAAAACAATAGGGAGCTTTAGCATCGACAACGGCAATGGCAGCGAAAACGTCAGGTTTAAAATGAATTCCCTTATTTTCAATATTTGTAGCGTTTATTCCAATTTGCTGAAAATGGCAAGTGTAGGCGAATTTCCCTGGAGTTGATTTCTTGAGGACCGCACTCAAGTTTAGAGAGAGAAAAAGAGATTCGTCGTCGCTTGTTTACGTCCTCCATAAAACTTGCAATTAGGCATTTTCAAGTCGTATTCGTGCAAGGAGGGTGAAGAAATGTACAAAAAAGCGTGATGCACGTGATGAATTGTCGTTTTGCCAATCTAAACCTATTGCTTTTTTGACGTCCTGGTTGCCGTCGCCGTCGTCGTTGCTAAAGCTCCCTGATTTCGCCAGCTACACAGGTCACGCGTCGGGGGTTGGCAGAGGCCTTTTCCCCAGGCTCCTTCCTCTCTTACTGTGAGAGATCTCTAGCAGGGGATCATTCTTTGATTCCAGTCTGTTTGACCCATAGTTTTTTAGGGGCTTGTTGCTGTGAATCTAGATGTTTTCACAATCGATTTAATTAATCTAATACTTGCCAGCACGCTTCCCAGTACTTGAATTTGACGTCAAGCGGTTTCGGAACAACCATTCCTGGAAACACCGCCTGTACAGCTTTATTCAATTCCGATAGGAACGTGGCTCTAGGTAATTTGGAAAGCTGGCCCCATTTCACTGCGCAGTCGAAATAATTGTAGCTTAGTTGAATGATGCCTTCACCTTGAGGTCCTCGGCTAAAATGCAAAGAAAGAGAAACTTGGCAATTAGAAATTTGCGGCATTAGTAACAGATAGTGCTAACTTTAGAATGAAGATGACGTGAACCACGGTCATGTCTTCATTTGCCCGGTTCACATAATCTTGATGTTTGTGTTTTATTCCTTTCGCGGGTTAAGAAGAACTCAACAAACTGGCCAACTTCGTCCGCATGACTTTTCCCTTAGAAAATTGAGGGACGGAAAGCCTTGGGGATCGACGAGGTCGCAAATTGGCCTGCTGACAATGTATGGGTCTTCTTTCTCAGTCGGTGGGGTAGTTCAGCGCTAACAAAGATCTAGAGTGCATATGCTTGAATCTCGTTGAAAATCCGTTATTGTTGTTGTATTTGTTTTTTGGTAGGAGGGGGGGGGAGCTTAATTTGCAATTGCTTAAATCACTATGGCAACCGCAATGATCATATCTTCATTTAAATGATAGTGCTTTATCAGCTAGGCAGAGCTTGGCAATAGGCTTAGCCACAAGTTGCTCAGCAACGTTTCGGCAACTTTTCATTTTTTAGCATTTTTAAAATTATTTTTTACTTTTCTCGCGACATTTTTTACCTTTCGAAAGAAAAGTCAGCTAATTTCAAGCAAGAGCCTTGCTCTCATTTTGGTTTAAATTCCAGCATCCCGGCCCTCAAATAAGGCAAATCCCGCTGGATCCCAAAAAACCTATCGGGAACCCTCCAATTGGACACAAAGTTGACCTGGCCAGTCTCAAAGCAACAGCTAAGTGGCCAATATAACTCCAGTCAGTTTTAATCTTATGCAAGAGTAAGCATCATGAAAACCCTGAGATGAGCCCACCTTGATAAAAGTTTCTCCTTACCCAGCCAGGATCAGGCCAATGAAACTGAAAAATATTCCTCTCCGGCTCCGATCATAAAAGGTTACTTTGTCCCCGGTAAAATTATATAGTGGGATGATTTTCTTTCATCTTACCTATAAGGCATCATATACATCAAACAAGTAGCACTTGATACGTATCTTTTCCAGGTCTTCAACGACATCTTATGGATCGACGTTGCGTTTTCCCACCAGGGATGCTTGTAAATCGCCACTGCTTTGAAGCATTTTTGACCAATGATAGGTGTGAAATAAGCATGATTTTTGATTTCAAAGGCGATATCACCGTTTACCTCTTTTAAGGGCAAAAATGGGATAGCAACAATAACCTTTTTAGCCGATACAAGGTAATGTTCAGTACGGACTACAAACGTGTTTGGTTCTCCGTCTCTGTTGATTGAGCTCACAGCTTCCTTTTGGTACATTCTAACCCCAAAACGCTTCACAGATTTCGCTAAAGCATCCACAATTTCGGATAATCCACCTCTTGGTCTAACGTATTCAGATGTAGACTTCATTCCGTTTTTAATCTCGTATATAGTCAGCGTGTTTCTCTCCATATTATGATTCATTTTTATTCCATAAATCAGATTTAAAAAGGCACATCCTTCACTTCCAACTCGCTGGCAAAGGAAATTGTGGTAAGAGGGATACTCTAAAGCTTTCTCTTTGGACATGTTCCTCCAAGCAAACGCAAACATCTGAGAAGGAGTCATGTTAGCAAAGACAGTGGACATGAGAGTGGGAAAGGCTTTTTCCTTGAAGGACTGGTGGTTGTCAGCATATATTCCTCTGCCTTCTAAATAGTCAATGCTCAAAGGAGGCATTTTAAGCATCGAGATATTGAGCCTTTCCGCTAAGTTTCTGAAAAAGAAAAAAAAAACATAAAAGGTTCTTCTTAATAATTTAGCTTTAGTCTGAAGATTTCATAGTTGATTTTTGGCATAAAGTGAAAGGTATAAAATTAAGAACTGCAGCAATTTTTGAAAACTTACAACGTTTTCTTGTGAGCTGTGTTTACTCTCCAAGCTCCCATACCTAATAAAGGAACACATACTGGAGAATGAACGGTCGCTTCGGTGGATCCATTTTACAGTTACAGACTCCGACTCTTCTTCTTAACGTTTTCTATGAAACACGTCGTGTTTCATCCGACATCCAAACACCAAGGAAAAAACAATGCATCCAACAAACCTTTTCATTTGAATAGTTAATAAATAAGTTTTTTCTTGGTTTTCATGTTAGCGTAGCTTCACCATTCAATTAATTAAGGTGTTTCGATACAGTTTTTCAGAGGTCATACCGATATTTTTCAATCGCCTTAAAAGTGTTTTTTTCCTTGTCTGATCGCTATAAAATTTTCACCAGTAATTGGCTATGGATTGAAATTTGTGAAAATGTAGTTTTAAGTAAAATCGATATTACTATGACAACAATAAACAAAAAACTTTAAAATTGATAAAAGCCGAATGTTTCTCCTTAGGTTCCTAAATTTTCTCAGTCCTCTTCCTAAAAAAGTCCAGAGTTCCCATTGAAAAAATCCCGTAAAAAAGACAAAAAAACATCCACACAAGATTTTTTTTCATGGCGTAAGCGCTCGTCCCCTAAATCCGGGGACTTTTATTTGAAACTGTCAATCTTCCCGCACGTAACGTAATTTCCGGTAAAAATGCACTTCCGGTTCGCTCTTACAAACAATTCTTTCAGAAAAAAGGCACAAGAAATAATCCTTAACATTTTCCCCCTCCTGGATTTACATTTGACTGAAAATCCAACACTTCAATCGATCTCTTTTACAAACATAACGCAAAATGTTCAAATGTTTCAATAACTGTTCAAATGTTAAAATTCAAATGTTCAAATGTCAAATGTTAAAATGTTCAATCTGTCAGGTTTAGACTTAAAATTCTCTGACTAAACAAATCATGAACTGTTCAACTGTTCCTACAAGTGTTCATGATGCAAATCTTTACGACCATAGCTAGTTAGTTCACTGTTCCGTCCGGTCACTTAGTAATCTTCAAATTCCAACGGTGAAATTCTGGAAATTGGTCTTCGTTTCACCCCTCCTTTGGTTCTAACGTCTACGACTCGTACTAGTCCATCTTTACCAGGATGCACTGCCTCTATTCGTCCAAGCTTCCAATCCCGTCTTGGTGCGTCTGGATCAATTACCAACACCACGTCCCCCACTGTTAGATTCTTTGAAGGTTGGAACCACTTTTGCCGGGATCCAATACTTGGCAAATACTCTCTCATCCAACGACTCCATACTCTACGAATCAGTTCCTGTATTCGTCTCCATCGTCTACGCACACTGACTGCCGTCGTATCGACTGTGTCTGGGGCTAGCTCTCCACCCATTTGGCCAATTAAGAAATGGTTTGGGGTTAGCACAGGCTCGTCATTGACATCTCCACTAACTGTAGTTAAAGGCCTCGAATTTAACAAACTTTCGGCTCCAGTAAACACGGTTTGTAATTCTTCATCATTGACATCAGCTTCGTTCAAAATTGCATAAATTGCCCTCTTGGCTGACTTGATCATTCTTTCGAAGACACCGCCAAAGTGTGGCGGTTCCGGTAGGTTAAACTGCCACTCAATTCCTTGGTTGGAAGTAAGCCTTTGAATTTTTTCTTGGTCCATGCTATCCACTAACTCCTTGATTTCTCGTGCTGCTCCCACGTAATTACTTCCATTGTCACTGAGCATCAACTTAGGCCACCCTCGTCTAGCCACCATACGCGTCAGCGCATTTAAGAAAGCATCCGTCTCCAGGGAAGCAGCCATTTCCAAATGACAACAGTGTGTCTGTAAACACACAAATAAGCAAAGGTAGCGCTTCACTCGTGGTCTACCTCGTCCTTGCATCGTGTAGAATGGTCCTGCAAAATCTGTCGCACAATTTGCAAATGGTTTCTGAGTCATCTCTAATCGAATTCTAGGTAATGGTGCCATTTGTTGTTGTGCTGGACAGCCCCTGGATCTTCGGTTACATTCCGCGCATTCCTTGATACATTTCTTCACTTGTTGTCGTCCTTGAATCACAAAGTATTTCTCTCGTAAATGGTTTAATGTAAAGTTCACTCCCATCTCGTGACCTTCCCTCTCATGGTGATACTTCACGATTAACTTGGTAACGATGTGATTCTTTGGAAGGATGATTGGAAACTTCGTCTCTTCTGGCAAATCATCTGAATATCGCAGTCGCGTGTTTGATCGAAGGAGTCCCCCACATAACTTTGGTGTAATCTTTAGTAACGTACTCTTACTAGGGAGAGGCTTGTTGTTTTCAAGTGCTCTTATCTCGTCAGGAAAGCACTTTTGCTGAGCCGCCCTGATGATTTGCTCTTCTGCTTGATTAAGTTCCCTTGGGTTCAACTCCCCACTTTCTCGATCGTTTTGAGGCTTTTTGGCATTTGCTAAGAATCGATTAATCCAACCAGTCACCCGCACCAAAGACATTCCGATCTCCAGCTTTCCTTTTGGCTTGGTTCTGTACCATTTTGAATACTCCATTGGGTCTGGTGTGCTCTTTGGTTTGACTGTTTCCACGTAATAGCTCTGTGCATTCATGCTTAGCTCCTTTTCCACGAGCTGTTCTCGTTTCTCTGATTTAACTTCTTTGTAAGCTTCTGGGGCTTTTCCAAATTTCCTCTCTGGCCACTCATCTTCTCTACGTTTTGGAAACGGGGGTCTATACCACCAGCAGTCATCCTTAACTAGCTCTTGAACTGAAGCTCCTCGAGTCCCTTGATCCGCAGGGTTGAGTTTCGTAGGAACGTACCGCCATTGGTCTGGACTGCTCTCGTCATGAATTTCCCAAACCCGGTGGGATACAAAAGGTTTAAAATTTCGACTCTGTCCTTGGACCCAAAACCCGACATTTACGCTGTCCACCCAAAATGTGGCCTTGTTCCTAGGAAGCTCCAGTGCTGCACATATCTTCAATGTCAGTCGGAGACCAGTCAGTGCTCCCATGAGTTCTAACCGCGGAATGCTCATGGCCTTCAATGGCGCCAACCTTGACTTTGCTGCGACTAATCTTGTGCTAACTGTTCCATCTTCATACTCATGGCGAACGTACGTTGCTGCGGCATAAGCCTTCTCAGACGCGTCACTGAACGTGTGAATAGTAACATCTCGGAGTTCCTTGTCTTCCTTCAGACATCGTAAAACACGGACCGCACCAAGTTCTCCAAGTTCCCCGAACCATCTTTTCCATTCCATTTTAAAATGATCTGGCAATTCTTCATCCCATCCGAGAGCTTCAATTCAAGCTTCCTGCATCAGCATTTTAGCTCGCACTACGAAGGGCGTCAGAAATCCAAAGGGGTCATAAATTGAGGCCGTTTTCTTCAGCACGTTCCTCTTTGTTAATACCAATTCGTCTGGGGGTGGAGCAAAGGAAAATGAGAACTTGTCTTCCTGAACAATCCACACGACTCCCAAGGTCTTCGTCACTGGAAATTCTTTCTTTTCGAGATCCACCTTAGTTGCTCGATCAGCTTCTGGTATGTCCATGATAACTTCAGGCTTCTGAGAGATCCATTTGCGAATGTGAAATCCTGCTTTATCTCCAAGCTCGGTTAACTGCTGTCGCATCTCCTTTGCTGTTTCCACCGTTTCCACTGAAGGTATCAGGTCATCCATATAACAACTGTTCTTCACCGCTTCAGCTGCTAGAGGATACTCTGCTCTGTGATCATCCGCATGCTTCTGCCACACATACTGCGCACAAAAAGGACAGTAACACCCTCCGAACACATATCTCAAGAATTCGTAAACGTCTGGTTCCTTGCTCTGATCCATATTTCTCCATAGAAACCTGTGTAGTGGCCTGTCTTCAAGAGTAAGGGCAAGCTGATGGTACATTTGACTTACGTCACCCACCAGAGCAACCAGTTCCTTTCGAAATCTGACTAGAATGCTAAACATGTCCGCTTGCAGTTTCGGTCCCGGTAACGCTTCGCTGTTCAAACTCTTTCCTTGGAACTTAGCTGACGCATCAAATACAATCCTCGTTTTCGTTGTAGTCCTGTCAGCACGCACAACGGGAAAATGGGGAAGTAACCATTCTTCAGTGGGTGTCGGCTCATCTGGCGGCACTCGGCGGATGTAATTCTTCTCCAAATATTCTTCAATGACTTTCTGATATGACTCTGCTATTTCTGGATTCTTTGCCAATTTTCGTTCTGTGGACTCCAAGCGCTTCTCAGCTAACGGCCTGTTGTTTGGAAGGCTTGGTCGCTCATTCTGCCAAGGAACAACTACTACGTAATGATCATTCTCGAACTTGATTGACTTGCTCACTTTATGCCAGGCTGCTGTTTCGTCACTAGTCATAACCGGTTTAGGAGGTATAATTCCCATGGTTTCCAGGTCCCAGAATCTCTTCAACAACGCATTCAAATCATCTGACTGTTCCACTGTCTGTGCCACTTCTCCAAACTGTTGCATGCGAAAAGTATGACACAAACTGGTGTGGTGATCTGCTCCTGTGTTCTCCATATTTATCCTCCCCACTGCCGTCCACCCGAGAGGACAAAGTCGTGCACATGGCTCCTCGGCTCCACCAATCACTTCTCTCTTGGGGTACATCAATTGATAGTTATCAGTTCCGAGCAACACATCAATCTTTCCCCGATTCGCGAGCTTTGGGAATGGAATGTCCTGCAAATGGTTCCAATTGCCCTTAATCCTAACCCAGTCGACTGCTTTCATCCCACCGCAGATTTTCTCAGAAGACTGTGCTACAATCTTAGCGTCCACACTACCGTCAACACTCTCTAATCCAATAGTGAATGTCATGGATGGAAAACGAACTTCCTGATCATTAGCAACGTTCACAGTTATCAACTCTTTCTCCCCTTTGACTCCGAGCTCCTCAACTACATCTTCATTAACATATGTAGTGTCACTTCCCTCATCCAAGAAACAATTGACAAGAATTCTCTTCCTACCGTGTTTCAAGATTGCTGGAACAGTTCGCAGTGCCACTTTTTCTGCTTTCTGTAGTTTTAGCGAAGTTGAATTGGTGTTAGCATCCCCCTCCGTGCTAAGCCCGCCGCTTTGTTCTCGAATTCCTTGTGACAGAATGTTGTCATCTCTGTTTGACTGGATTTCCCTTCTTCCTTGAATTGTCCTGGCCAACTGAAGCTGGGTTGACTGGGACTGGGTTCCCTGAGGCCGTGTTCCTTGAGGCTGAGTTTCTTGAGGCTGAGTTCCCAGGGGTCGAGACTGAGAGTTGTTTCCATTTCGATTCCCATGTAACAACCGGTTGTGTCGGTCCCTGCAACCATCAATGTTACACACTCTACTTCTTGGGCACTCCCCTCCCAGATGATCATCACCCAAACATCTGTAACAGAGTCCTAGTTTTTTCGCCGTAACCCATTTTTCCTGAATTTTTCTGCTTTTAAAGACATCGCAATTCCATACAGCATGGCCTTCCCCACATACTTTGCATGTTCCCCTCTTTTTGTCATCAGTTCGGTTACTTCCAAAAGACTTACTTCTTCTGTTGTGAAATTTGCCGCTTGAATTTCCTGATTTTAAACCATGTTTAATTTCAGTTGCTTGAATCTGATATTCAGCTTCTTCTGCAGTCCAATCTTTGAGTGTAATTAGAGACTCGACCCTTCTATTTTCTTTTACCCAGCGAATGTATTGAGACAATAATTTCTCTGGCAGTTTTTCAAGAATGAAAGTGTACAAAGTTCCCGCTTCTAAATCAGCCGCTCTACTGTTCTCCTGTAGATTTATCACTGCCCTCTCCAACATGTCTGCAAATTTTTCCAATTCTTTTGAATTTTCCTCTCCGATTGGCTTCAGTTTTATTAATTCGTCTACATGACACTGAATTTCCCTACGATTTCCACCGTATTTTCTCAACAACCTCGACTTAGCAGCCTCATAAGCAGCTTCAGAATATCCTAAACCCTTAATCGTTTCTAAAGCTTCGCCCGCTAAACATGCCTCCAATCTCAACATCTTAAACTGAGCAGACATTGCAGTTGCATCCACGCAACCCGTAAATGTTGCGTTCCAGTGCTGAAATTCAGTTTTGTTCCCGCTAAATGTTGGAATGCGAATTCTTTCTAGGTTATTCACCCCACTATCAACCTTCCTTTGCGGCAAACTGGTGTTAGAGTTACTCGAGTAAGATGGTGGACTTACCGGCCGTGTGTTCCGTGTTACTGAAGTCAAGACGCGACGAGCGGCGCTAGCTTCACCTTCAATTCTTTCGTTTAATTCATCCGCTTCATCCCCTACTTTAACTTGCATTTCAGTGTTCTTTAGCTCCTGATACAATGTCCGTAATTCTTCCAGTATTTCGAAAGTTTTTTCCTTAATCTTTTCCAAACGCTCCAAAGTAGCTTTAATTTCTTCAATTTCTTCAAAACTTCTTGGTTCAACGCCGCCGCTGACGCCAGCAACCCAACTCGCTAACTCATTTAGCTGTCTTGTTATCGCCCCTTTTAATTTCCGTTTTTCCGCTTTTAAAGCTTCCACTTTCATCATACGGTCTTCGGCTGAATCTTCTTCGTTGTCCGACATTTTTCCACTGATTTCCTTAGTAAAATCCACAAAGTTTCCTCACCTTTGACGAAAACAACACTACTGTCAACTCGCCACACAAATCCTCCACGTCCAAGACCGTTTTCCTTTGAAAATTCCAACTTTTAATCCACTTTATCCGGCTTCGAAGGACCAGAAATGTTTCTCCTTAGGTTCCTAAATTTTCTCAGTCCTCTTCCTAAAAAAGTCCAGAGTTCCCATTGAAAAAATCCCGTAAAAAAGACAAAAAAACATCCACACAAGATTTTTTTTCATGGCGTAAGCGCTCGTCCCCTAAATCCGGGGACTTTTATTTGAAACTGTCAATCTTCCCGCGCGAACGTAATTTCCGGTAAAAATGCACTTCCGGTTCGCTCTTACAAACAATTCTTTTAGAAAAAAGGCACAAGAAATAATCCTTAACACCGAATTTTTTCTGATCTAGACCAGCTACTGAAAATCCAACACTAGACATCTTCGTGTGTCGAACCTAAGTTAAGTTCGACAAAAGTTCGACAGACTCTGTCGAACTTAACGCTTTTGCCGCACCAAACTAAAACTGCCATACGAAATTGATTCAGACGCCGCTCTTTTGCCGTACTTAATTCATCAGTTAGGTTCGGCACATGAGTGGAGCGGCGTCTGAACCGGGCCTTAGGGTGCGTTCGATTGGGAAATCTGGATCTAGATTTTAAAATCTGGATTTCGGAATTGCAGTCGAACGCGAAATCCGAAAACGGATTTAAACTGAGATATCTGTTTTTGGATTTTTATTTTTACCGTTCGACTGGGAAATCCGAAAAAGGATTTGAAAAACTGTCCTTATAGAACAGCGGTCTTGCACGCACACGCATACTTAGCAAACTGGCAAGACCACTGTTCACGAGAATAGTTTTGCAAATCCTTTTTCGGATTTCCCAATCGAAAGGTAAAAAGGAAATCCATGAAATCCGGATTTGGATTTCTTAATTGAAATCCACCCTGAGGACGGATTTCTCGGAGGTGAAATCAGTTGTAAAAAGAGAAGGCAAACAACAAGGCTGTTAAGACTAGCGCCACTAACGTATAATAATGCCTACAAAAAATTCGTTGAACAGCGATGCGATATTTTTCGTCTAATACCAGCTGTAATACTTCACAGTTGGTGACTGAGCTCGAGGTTCCTTTCGCAGTGAGCCTCCGCTTGAGAACCCCGTTCAGAGAAGTAAACTTTCAAATGAAAACAGTTTCAACATGGATAGTATTTGCTGGATTTGCACTCGTTTGTTGGTAAATCACAAGGCACATTCTACACATTGTTCGCAGTCAACAACTTGCAGAGAGATTCAACTCTGCGATACACTCACGTTAGTTCCCGTAAATAAAGCAAATCCTGAGAAGATATGAACAACCATCTGAATTTTCTGAATTTCCATGACACATATTAAAGGATATTTTCCTACTATAAGACCATAAAACAATAAAAAGGACAGAAAAATCGATCCTTCTCTCCGCCGACGGCTGATCATTCGCGAAAACAACCATGCGAGGAATAAGCGCTTTCAACTTCCGTTGATTCCAACAGCCAATCAGATCTTGTGGCATTGTTCTAACAGCCAATCAGAGTTACGGCCAAAATTTGGCCGCGGTGAGCACAAACGTGAGAGAGTTTATATCAGGCCCAATTTTAAATATTTCAAGACAAGTAAATTTTAATTACTTCAAGTAAAATAAAGCTTCACACACAACCGATTCTTTTTTACTTCCGGTTATTTTCCCAAGCAACAAAATTAAGATTGATTGACGTGTCTTTCCTTTCTCAAAGCTCAAGAAACCGCAAAACCGCAAGTCAGCTGAGTGGGTCATAAGGATAGTTTTCAAGTCGCTTGAAACTTTCTTGAATCGTTTCAACTTTCCGACTTTAATGAGATGCAAAGCAAAGTTTCTTGAGATTTTACTTAGTCCTTCACACACGAATTTTCGGTTCAGTAAAACTTAAGTCTCACTTATCAGCCTAGTGTAAAGACAACCATTGGGCCTGATCTCAGGTTAATATTATCTGTATCTTTTTCCTCCACTAGCTGCTGTTTCTCTTCTGGGATAACTTTAAAAATCGTTGCTTATTAGCTTGAGGAATCGTGTTTGTGTTGTTGTGTTCATTCACGAAAAAGAAAATTGGCAGTGTTTTTCCCGCCTTCTATCACGCCACTTTCCACCATGCTTTGATCACGTGCTGTAATGTATCCCGAGGGGGGTACATTGCGTAATTTATCACGATCGGGATACATTTGATTTTAGTCAAGGCCACGTGACTAAGAATCAACCAAAGGCAGTTCCTGTTTAGTTGAGTGAAACGCTAGGAATATAATATATTTATTTTGATGCTAGGAAATTTTGGTGTATTTTCGTTTTGGCGATCTTGAAAACTAACCCGTTTTCTCACCACCTGTCTAAGCGCAACTTCATTCAAAACTTAGACTTTTAGCGGTTTTCTGTACATCTCTGAAACGACTCGAACGAGTTTTTTTAAAATCTCTTCACATAATCTTCATAGTGTATATAATAATGTCTGAAACTTTCATTGAGATTGATTTACTGCAGCATCTTAAAATTTCAAGACAAACCTATCCTGCGAACCTGTCAAAATTCTGCGTTACAACATTCCCTGTTTGACGTTATGCTAATTTTTCCAAGATAATGCGCACTATACATACCTCCATGACCAGTACATTTTAGTTTGAGTTTATCGCATCTTTTGAATGTAAAACATTGACCATACTCACACTGAGACGGACGTACTAGTCAGGGATATATGTATTGTCCGCATTACTTTGGAAAAATTAGCTTAACGTCAAAACAGTGTTGTAGCGCGGATTTTTGACCGGTTCGTAGGATAGGTTTGTCTTGAAATTTCAAGGTGTTGCAGTGAATCAATCT